TTGGAAAAATTAATGTTGAAAAATAATCAAGAAGAAAACCCAGGTGTTCGTGGATATATGACTCTTACTTTTCTAGGTTTTTATGATAAAAAAGGTAACCATATGTACAACATTTTTTGTTTAATTTTCTATGTTAAAAATAATTGTATTTAAGATTTTATTATAATATATCTTTATAATGATATTAATTACAGTTGAAACACCTCAAGATCCTGTAAAAGTGGAAACATTGTTATTGAAAATATGTCATAAGAAACGAAAAGATGTGAGTTCACCAATTATGCAGGCAAGTTGATTTTTATGAATTATATTAACATAATAACACAACGTTAAATATGAATTGAAATATATGAAAAAGATTAAAAATTACTATTAACTGAATAAATATTATTTATTTTAGGTCTCTGTTGGTACAAGTGAAGTTCCAATCAATCCTTGTGAAAATCAACCCCCTCCAAAAGCACCTACTATATCTATACCTAATGAATCTTTCAGTTTAAATAATGGTCATGTAGCAAAAACTTATATGCTTTTACTTAGAGTATATTGTACGTCCAGTACTGGCTGCCTTATGCATAACTGTGATTTAGATGGTTGGTAAAAATATATATATTAAATTATTATATCATTGCATTTAGAAAATATATTGTTTCATATATTTTTTTATATGTATGATATAATATACATACATATTATATATATATATAAATAGTATATTATATATATACGCAATTATTTTTTTCAATATTAAAAATGTTAAAAATATTTCTTCTTTATATTTAATAATTATATGTACATACACATTTTTTTCAGAACCAGCTCAAAAGCGTCGTAAATCCTCCACGGGTTCAATTAAGTCTGGAGGAGAGGAAATAAAATTATATGGTTCTGAACTGATAGTATATGATAAGCACAATCGATGTTTATTAACTGATGGAGATTATGAATTAGGTTTACAAGAAGTACAAACTAATATTCGATCTAGCCCAAAGAAGCATAGCTCTTGGGAGTCTGTACCTGACATCAAGGAATGTGGCCCTTTTGAAGTATTTAGCAAAGGTCCAACGTTAAAATTTAGGCTTAATTGGACAACTGAACCAAGCAATGGTTTAGTTGATAGACCAGCTCCAATTCATCCATTACCAAATGGTGATAATAAGGAAAATCGATCAGGAAATAGTAAGTTATTTATGAAAATATATAATAAACGACAAGCTGATTTCTTCAAAATAAAAAAATAGAAATTAATATATATAATTAGGAAAACAGCCTGTTATATTTTATGTTTTATTTCATATTTTTCTTCACAAAAAATATATATATATATATATATATATATATATATACAAATATATAAATAAAATTTTAAGAAATTATAAATTAATATTATAATTTTAGCTGGTCTAGAACGTTCTTCCACAAATAATAATAATAATAATAATAATAATAACAACAACAACAACAACAACAACAATAATAATAGTAATAATATCAACAACAACAACAATAATTCTACACTGCCAACACCTAGTCCCCTTAATTCTTCAAGAATGACGACATCTAGTGAAAAAACAGATACTGTCATGAGTACACAGCAAATAGTTTATCAGTTCCTGTATAATAATAATAGTCGGCAACAAACAGAAGCTTGTGAAGATTTACATTGTCCATGGTGCTCATTAGATTGTGGAAAACTTTATTCACTTTTAAAACACTTAAAATTATGCCATTCGCGATTTACATTTACGTATGTGGTAAGTATAAATATATATAATTCTACATAACATAACGACATTATAATGTAATTATGGCTATTTTAATAGCCAATTCCACAAGGTGCTCGCATAGATGTAGCAATAAATGAATGTTATGATGGCTCTTATGCTGGTAGTCCTCATGAATTAATTTCGCAACCATCGAATGTAGCATTTTCAAGAACAGGACCGACAAGACGAACAAGTGTAACAAATATTTTAGTATGTCGTCCAAAAAGAACTAAGCCAAGTCTTTCTGAATTTTTAGAACTCGATGAAAATGAATATGAAAGCCAGAGACCTTATATTACAGGGCATAATAGGTACAAAATTTATTTAAAATAAATATTGTTTATTATATAATAGATTATATGATTTATAAAAATTTTCATAGGTTGTATCATCATACTGTCACATGTTTACCTATATATCCAAAAGAAATGGATATTGATTCTGAAGGAGAAAATGATCCAAAATGGTTACAAACAAAAACAAGGATGATGATTGATGATTTTACAGATGTGAATGAAGGAGAAAAAGAACTTATGAAAATGTGGAATTTACATGTCATGAAATATGGATATGTAGGAGACTGCCAAATACCATTGGCTTGCCAAATGTTTCTAGAAACTAAAGGAAAGGAATTGCTCATGAAAAATTTGTATCGTAATTTTGTTTTACATATGTGTAGTTTGTTTGATTTTGGTCTAATTAGTCCTGTGGTTTTATATCAAACAATACAAAAATTACAAGAAATCATGAAAGAAGGAGGCGAAGATAGTGATATTCGAAAAGTTCTACAAAAGTCGCATGAAGCTCAAGTTGAAAAATGGCTTAATTCAGGCTGTCATGCATCTTTAGATACTAAACAAAATAATACAAATATTAAAGAAAATTTAAACACTGAAGGATTAAATTCTAATGGTATAGAGTGATAAGAATTGACTTTTTCTAGATACCACAATATAAAGTGTTCGCTTCGATTCCGGTGACGAGGTTTTTAGAAAAATTGAAGATAAAATGATAATTGAAAGATGCATCATTTGTAATTTTAAGAAGGAAATATTTTCCTTCATTTGCGGAGTTATGAATAGTAAAAAAATTTGTTTGCAAATTTGTTTCCTCAAGGGAAAATATCTGCCTTTAGGTATTATTTGAACATATAAGAAATATAATCCTAGTCACCGAATCCTGAGCGTACTAGGTAACATGAAGAATAAGAATACGTAGAAGACGTCTGCCGCTTGTACTTGCTATTACTCTAGTAGGTGTCGGATAAGACTGACTTTATTGGAAAAAAAACCTCTTTTTATACACGAACGGGTAACAGCATTTGACCAATCGATATGGTCAAAATATCGCGCGTTCGAGTGAGACGAGTCGCTTTCGTCTCTCGTCTTTTACCCGCATTCGTGCAGGCCGCGTCTTGTTCAACTGCTTATTTCTACATTTATTTCTACATATATGTATATACATTTAATTTATTCAATAATATATGTTAAATTTACATATAACTACATTTTGAAGGAAATCAAGGTCATTGGATAAATATTGTATATTCATGAGATAATAGATTATTCTTTTACATGATAAAACAGTTGTACCTCCTATGTAATATTAATTTAAATTATAATCTTATAGATTAATGAATAAATTTAATATCTGAAGTTAATACAAAACTTGGAAAATTAGCACATAATCTCTTAAAATATGGGACCTTGATAAAATTACTTCAGATATTTCTTATAAACTCAATTTAATAAACTGAGGCTGTAAATTATAGGTTTTACCCCAAAGTAAGGAATGAACTGTTATAAAAAAAGTGCCTTTGTAAAGCGAGAAAATCTGAATGTGAGAGTGACTTTCGCCAATATATGACCTTTACATTAAGGATTTGTGCTCATTTATAATGCGTTAAATGTTTGTATGTTTTTTTATTTTTAGTAAAGATTTCTTTGTCGATTGTCATTCTTTCAGATAAACTTATAGATGAAATTTAGTAAGTTACAGTAAGTTTATTCTCTGTGTATATATAATATACACAATTTTACTGCCGATAATCGTTCGAAGAAACAATTACATTCCCGAGATATTTCTATATGTAAAATGAAATCTTATTCAATTTTTAAGTATTAATTTCTAGTAATGTTCTCTTCGAACGACTTAGATCACTGTCCATTAATACTTATGCTAGGTTGTAAATAAAAAATACAATAAACATAGAAATATTATAATTTAAAGTGTTCAGTGCTTTTACTTGAAATTATTCAAATTATTAGGTTGTTCGAAAATTAATTGCGATTTTTGATAACATGATGTATATAGCTTTACTTAAAATTAATTTATTTAATCGAAATAAATTCATTAATTCATCAATTTATATAGCTTTTTTGATGAGATACAAATTATCCTATATCTTAAAAAAAAACCTTTATACAAGCATTATAAACAAATTTTTTACAAAATATTGAACAAAAAATTATATAAAAATTATATGTTCAACAGAATTTATTTTATTTTTGCAGAATATGTTTCATATTTTAAAATTCTCTTATTTTAATATTTTAAATTATAAAAAGATTTTATGAATGTTTTTTCTTATTATTATTTATATTGATGAAATTGATAAAAATTAAATAGAGAAAATCAAAGTATCATTACTAAATTATGTAGTGCAATATTTATATTGATTGTGAATATATTTGAGAATAAATTTCTTGAAAAATTTAAAATATTATATAACAAATATAAAATTAGTTTACAGTCCATAAAGTTATAATATGTAAAATTAAATATTAGAAATACTAATAAAAAATTGCAATTTATTTCAAGACAACCTAATATATTGTTTTATTTTTTAGAATAATTATATAATGATAATTATATTATTATAACATTATATTAAAAATTATTTTCCTTCTAAGGGGTAGCTTTTTTGAATAAAATTGTAGTACATGTTTCTATATACACAAATACACACATACGCACAAACAATCATGTAATTTCGGAAAAATATATCTTTTTATGAAATAATAAATTATGCTATATATACTTTTACTATAATTAATGAAAAAATTAATAAGAATATAAAAACTTTATTTTCATTTATAAAATTATTAGTAATGAAAATTTATAACATTCTAAATTTATCCAAGATTTTTACAATTATATGTTTAGTTACTTAATACTGTTTAATATTTTTCTTATGTCCGTGAATATGTTATATATGTTATATATTAAATTACATTATTTATTTAACTTGTTTTCTATTTTCATGAGAACCATCTGTTTTATTCTATTATATTTAAAATATTGTGGAAAATCTATTTTAATATATTCAATATGCCAATTAAAATGTTTTGCTTCAATAAATCCTAAAAATTCTTCATACATAGGTGCAGTAGTTTTCATATCAGCTGTAGTAAAAACATATCTTTTCTCTAAAGCAATATAAATAACTTTCGATATATCTGAATTTAAAAGTTCATTTAATGTTTGAACAAATCCTTCAGTTATAGTTTTATCATAAATTACTGTAAGCATAAGATATTATCAAACATACATTATTTTTGTTATAAAAATAAATTTATAAAGTTATAACTATAATAAGATATAAAGTTATAACTCACCATCTGCAGCTAAAATAACATTTGCTTTATCTAATTTTTTCTTATAAGATGTAAATGATTTTAAATTTAAAAAATCTAATTCCTTAATATAAATTTTAGCTTTAATATAATTTTTGTTTCGTATAAAATTTCTATATATTAATTTCAATATTCCTTTGACATCAATATCTAGAAATTAAAATATTATATAAATATAATATTTATTTTAAATATAAAAAATAATATATAATATTACATTATTTCACTACAAATTTCATTACCTGTGCAAATTACTTCTTCTGCTAAAAAACTAGTTACTATACTAGTTAAACCAACTCCAGCACCTAATTCTAAAACTATTTTATCTTTGAATAAACTAGGATTTGATAAAATATAATCAGCTAATAATAATGCACCTCGCCATACTTGTAATCCAACATATTGTAAGTTTGTAGATATATGATGTTCTAAAAATATTAATATAATATAATTTTAATTAATCTTTTATGATATTTTATCATAAATTTATATTAGCTTTTTGGTTTTTTCGCTATCATACAAAATTTTTATATATAAATTTATACCTATTAATAATTTTCCTTCTTGTTGTCTATCTAACACTATATCATTATCATTATCATGACTTATAATATTGTTAAGACATTTTGGTTTAATCATGTAGGATGGATATTTAAAAATAAAACTGGATATTGCATCTAGAAAAATATAATTACACATATATATATATATATCTTACACTACTACAGAAAAATATATATATGTACATATGTATATATATATATAAATAATTTTCTAAAAGTTGAAAAACTTACTATTATTTTTATATTTTATATACAAATTTTTATTTTCTGTAAATATTTCTGATGTTATTACATATGTCATCTCTGTAAATAAAAGATCACTACTATATTAAAAATTTAATTTTGAATGCTTGTTTTAAATTATTATATTTATTTTTTCTTATTTCTATATTAAACACATAACATTTAATATAAATGATTTTAATAAAATAAAAAATTAAATTAATTTTTCTTATATAATATAATAACGATATATTATTTAATAAAAAGTAGTACATTTTGATTTATTTATAATTATTACATATTTATAATTAGTATATTTTCATATTTAAAAAAATAATTATATATTATTGAATAATTACTTTTTAATATACCTGTTTAATCCTGAAATATTTAAATTTTTAAAAAAATTTCTTTAATATACAATATTTCACAATAAATATAAGGTTAAATTTTAATTTGTTATTTTAGACAGTTATATTTTAATTGTAGTTATGTAATGTACTATTGTACATAAATATGACCTATTTGTTGAATATCTCGATTATATTTATTTTTTAAAAATATGAATTTATTAAATATTTTGTACTACACACATTTTGAAATTAGAAAATAAATAAATTATAATATTTGTAAATTTATTTTTTTTTAAATTAATAAAATTTAATTTTCATATTTAAATTATACGAAAAAATATTTTATACATTATAATATAAAAAATAATTATATGAAATACACGTTTAAATTATATTTTTTCTTATTTAAATATACTGAAATATATGTTTATTTCTTTATATATGAAAAATATAAAATTATATATAAAAATGTATAAAAAATTTAAGTTTTGAATATTGAAAATTTTAATAAAAATATTTTACAAAAAATTAAGACATATATATAATTTTAATCAATTCAAATATGAAATATATCAATATATTGAATAAATATATATCATTATCATTTGTTTCTTTTATATATATATATATATATATATGTATATAATATAAATTAAAAATTATTCTAAAAAAAATTTTAATTATATTAAAATATAACATAAAATACATTTATTGAAAAAATAAAATTGTATCATTAAAAAAGATAATGTTCTAACTCTTGTATAGTAATCTTATATTACATCTTACTGGATCTCTAAATACTGTATTGACCAATCAGCATCTTCCACGATGAATGTGATGCCACGCATTAACTACAATCTACCAACTGTATAGTCCTCTGCATTATTGTATTTGGTCACTTTATTCATATTCCTCAACGAATGGTGTTGGTGACTTTAATCTCAATATTGTAACGGTAGAATCCGTTATTTTGTCGTACGATTAATTAAAATTTATATACGTGTCGTGATATAATTTATCAAGAAATAACATTGTCTTCGTTTAAAGATGAAGATTTTTGCATTAACAATTGTAATAATTTGTTTCTTTACTTTTAGTCTTGCAAAAATTGAAATCGAAGATTCGGTTTTAGTGCTTACAAAAGATAACATCGAAGAAGCAATCGAACAAAATGATTATCTGCTCGTTGAATTTTGTGAGTAATCTTTGATTTCTTCTTGAATAAATTTTAATTACATTAAAATTAAAAAAAAATAATAATATGATATTTATCTTATTTGCTACTTTTATATATATTTAAAACAAAATACAATTGAAGCTGATCCAGATGGTTAGTTCTTACACGTCATCATTTAGAAGCCGGCTTGTAAAATTGTTCATGATTGTTGACATTATTTTAATTTGATATCTAATATATAATGGAAATTTTATAGAATGAACATAATATTTATATTAATAAATACAATTAAAATTTTTATAAAATAAGATTAAATTATTTACTATATATAAAAACATTCTAGTAATAATATTGTTATTATGTATAAAATTTTAAATTTATATGAATATATATATATATATATCATATTTATTATATTTTATTATATTTTAATATATTATATTTTACATTTAATATTATAATTCTTTTAAAAATTATATAAAATTTTATAAAAAATAAATATATATATAATATATATAAACTATAATATATTATATGTGTGAACACTTAACAAATAAAAATCAATTACAATACAAATAAAATATATGAAAATGTATATAATATATTTTGTGTATAGTTTCATTTATTATTATGTATTATTATTATTACTTATAAAATATTTAAGTTATTATTTTATAATTTTTAAATTACTATAATAGTATAATTTTTTAAATAGATTTTTTAATGTAATATTTATATAATAAAATTATATATATATATATATATATATATATATATATATGATATTTTATTCATATTAATTATTGTTTCTTATATTATTTTCTATTATTTAGATGCACCATGGTGTGGACATTGTAAAGCTTTAGCACCTGAATATGCTAAAGCAGCTAAAAAGTTACAAGATGGTAGTTTTCCTATAAAATTAGCTAAAGTTGATGCAATTATTGAAACAGAATTAGCTGAAAAACATGGAGTTCGTGGATATCCTACCCTTAAATTTTATCGTAAAGGATCAGCTATTGATTATAGTGGAGGCCGTCAAGCAGATGATATTGTAAATTGGGTAATAAAAAAATCAGGCCCTGCTGCTAAAAATTTATCAACAATTGAAGAAGCTAAATCATTTATTGAGTCACATAATATTGCTATTATTGGATTCTTTAAGGTATTTGTATATTATTTATATTTTATTTAAAATAATGAAATATATGCATGGTTAAAATTTTTATTATATTATGAAACTTTAATCAATATATATATATATATATATATATATATATATGTATATATTAAACTATACTATTTAGGATATAGAATCAGATAGTGCAAAAGTATTTTTAGAAGTTGGTAATGCTGTTGATGATCATGTTTTTGGTATAAGTAATAATGATAAAGTTTTCAATGAATACGGAGTAGAAGATGGTAAAATTGTTTTGTTTAAAAAGGTATATTAATTTTTATTTGTTATATATTCAATTTTCCTTTGTAGATTTAATCATATAATATTTAATAATTATTTTAGTTTGATGAAGGCAGAAAAGAATTTAATGAGGAACTTGATGTTAAAAAATTACAAAATTTCATTTCTGTACATTCACTGCCATTAGTTGTTGATTTCAATCAAGATACAGTACAAAAGATATTTAGTGGTGATATCAAAAGCCATCTTCTTGTTTTCCTTAGTAAAGAAGCTGGTCATTTTGAAGAATATGTAGACAAAATTAAAGAACCAGCAAAAAAATTTCGTGGAGAAGTATAATAAATAAAAATAAATAAATAATAATAAATATAAATATAAAATAATATAATAATAATTTTTTATTTTATTGTATTATGCAGGTTTTATTTGTGACAATTAATGCTGATGAATCTGATCATGAACGCATCTTAGAATATTTTGGTATGAAAAAAAGTGAAGTACCTGCTATGCGTATTATAAAATTTGAACAAATTATGGCTAAATACAAACCAGAAAAGCCAGAAATATCTACTGAAAATGTGTTGGAATTTGTAACTGCATTTATTGAAGGCAAATTGAAAAGGCATTTTCTTACACAAGATTTGCCAGAAGATTGGGATAAGAATCCTGTGAAAGTTCTTGTTGGTACTAACTTCCATGAAGTTGCATATGATAAAAAGAAAAACGTTTTAGTTGAATTTTATGCTCCATGGTGTGGGCATTGCAAACAACTAGCTCCTATATATGAAGCAGTATGTTTTATTTACATATTTATTATCTTTAGAATTTTAATAAATTTAAAAAAAAATTGAATATAATATGAATATAATGTAATTTATAGCTTGGAGAAAAATATAAAGACAGTGAAAATTTAGTTATAGCAAAAATGGATGCTACTGCAAATGAATTAAAAGATGTTAAAGTTAGTAGTTATCCAACAATTACTCTTTATAAAAAAGAAACAAATGAAGTAAGGATCTTGGATTAATTGAGATATTAATACTTGTTTGACATTAATAATGTATTCTAAATTAAGTAAATTTTTAGGCTGTAGAATATAATGGTGAAAGAACGCTTGAAGGACTTTCTAAATTTATTGAATCTGATGGTGCTTATGGTCAAGCTGCAGAAGAAGTTTGTAAAAATTTATAATTGATATTTGTATTTTAATAACATAAAATTATAATATTTATTTTTACAGGCTCAAGAAGAAGATGAAGATGATGATGTGCCAAGAAAAGATGAGTTATAGATATGTGACATATGAAGAAACAATTCCATAGTTTCTCATAACAACGTTTATAAATTTAATAATTCTGCTTAAAAGATATTAATTTATAGAAGACTTCTTTCTCATCTATTTCTATTTTAATATTTTTAGACTTGAATTTATAAATCAAATTTTCAAATTATTATATGTCAATTACTAAAAATTTATTTCTGCAATGATATATAGAATTTGTTTATATATATATATATATATATATATAATTATTACTAAATATATATATATATATATGTATATATATACATATATATAATTATTAAATGTATATATATATATATATATATATATATTTATAATAATCACATATGCATATAATTGGTATAATCTGTTTACAATGTATATTTCGCATATGACTGAGTTTCTAATGTGATAAATTGCACATAGAGATAAAGCAGTTTGTTTTATATGTTTTAGATTTAATAGATAAAATAATATTTTATCTGAATGTCTGATATGAAGATAATCTGTATAAAACTATTCAAAAATATTGTGTTATTTGCATCGTTCTTATCATTTTTTGTATGAGTGCCCTCTAAAAACTGTTTAAAATTTCTAATGTTTAGATACAGTATCTTTGTCTTGTGATGTTGATGTATGAAGGTGTTGATGTATGAACTTATGAAAGATCATTAGGCTAAGAATTTCGCAAAATCGTAAAACGTATTTTATTTTTATAAAAAAAAACCTTGTTTTTTATTAAATAAACACATATACGCGCTCGTACAACAAATTAATATTAAAAAAAAAAATTATCTCTAATATTGTAGAATAGTTATTCTGAACTTGTAGAAGATATATATTTCCATTTACAGCATTTATATATATAACAGTTTTATGAATATTTAAAGTAGAAGCGATTTTAACATTTTTTTTAAATTAATTTAAATAAAAATTTTATAAAAAAATTTTATATACATAAAAATATATATATTATATATATAATTATATAATATATATATAATTATATCAATTTTTCATTTTCATAAATGTTTATTTCAATTTTTTTCATTATCTTTTTTCCTATTTTTTAGTTTATCTAATATTTTCACAAATAATATCAATAAATCGTAATATTTAATACATAATACTTATTTTACTTAATGTTGTTATATGTTAAAAAACTGCATATGTATGAGAAGGAATTGTGAAATATATCATACATAAATTCTATCTATATGATATTTTAGTGTATAAGAAATACAGTTAACACTTTGAGTGACATTTATAATTTTTTTTATTCTTTATTAATATTCTATTTCTTATTTAATTATTTTTATCTTTGTTTGTTAGAAACAACAAGATTCAAGAATAACAATGGAAGATTTACAAAATTTTAATCTTTCAAAATTAATTAAATTTTTACATCGAACCTTGATTCTGACAGAAGAAGTAAAAACTATACTAAAAGCAAATTGTGAAGAAGCAATGTATTGTTTAAAACCATGGTGCGTAGAAGTTAATCCTCAACAAGAAGTTAATAAAAATGTTTGTACTTGTCCCAAAGTAAGATTATTATACATTTTTTGATTATTGTTATACATTTTTTATAAAATTTGTTATAAATAAATTACTTTAATTTTATTTTCTATTTTAAAGTCCAAAGATGAAGATGAAGAAATTGCTGCAGATATTAGTAGAACGTTATTACAAACACAACAATTACGAGAGAAATCATCTTTAAATATAAAAAATCAAAAAATTTTTAACATACATGAATATTATCAAAAAACTGGTAAATATTTAAATTAATATTGTTAAAATTTTAAAAAATAATATATTATTTAATTATATATTATCAATTATAGAAAATAAGAAAAAAAAAAAGATTCAAAATTTAAATGTTAATAATAAGAACATGAATTTAAAACAAGATCTTAATGCTATAAAACAAAATAATCAAAATATGAGAAATGATAAAGAAGTACAAAATGAGATAGATGCATATACAATTAAAAAAACAAAGAATAATAATCAATTATTAATAAATTCAATAAAATTTAGAGAAACTAAAAATTTTCTTGTAATAAATAAAAGAAATGTTAAAAACATTGAAAAAGTTAATCAATACAAAAGCATTAATCATAAATTGGAAAATAAAATTAAATCTAATTATTCCATAAAAGAGGTAATTTTTTATATATTCATATATATTCATATATGTTACACTCATATATATTACTTTTTATTTTATAGTCTAATAAAATTTTAAATGTAGTAATTTTTAATTAAGTTTTTATTAATTTTTATTATTAGTATTATTTATTAAGTATTTTTTTATAAAATACTTATATGTTATTTACGTATATTACAAAAATTTGACATTTTTTTAATTTTACTATTACCTATTGAGATTGATTGATTTTATTATATATTTTGAAATATAAAAATAATAATTTTTTTATTAATGAATTCATTTATTATAAATTTTGAAAATATTTTATAATTGTTATATATTTAATTAATTAATAATATTTAATATAATTTTCTTTGTATAGTCAAAATATTGTAAATTTGGTGAAAAATGTTCTACAACATCAATTAGTGAATTGAAAAATCTAATACAAAAAATGTCAATTAAATCTAATGATTGTACACTGATTAATAAGTGTAATATAAAGTGTCCATTACATGAAAATACAATTTCTCATTGTACTTTTGACCAGAATTTAATAATTGATACTATTATAGATAACTTTAATAGAAATAATATTTCAGAAGAAATAATTAAGTCATTAAAAATTTATCATACTTATTTAAATATTGATTTTACAAAAAAATTACTTATTCAAAAACATCAGAAAGTATTACATATATTTTTGATAGAATTTAATAAAATGGTAAGTAAATATACATATAATATTATAAATAAATAACGTATATTATATGTATACTTATGTAATTTGTACATAGGATGAAATTGCACAAAAAAAATCAGTACATAAAAATATTTCATCTATATTCTTTGAATCAATAACTTTATTTGAATCTCTTTTTTCTAAAAATATCAAAATGTTTAATTTAAAAGATATTAGAGCAATGTATGCAAAATTAAATTCTGCATGGAAAATGTATGAAGTGAAAAAATTTAATAATAAATGTATTTTAAAAAATAAATCATACAAGGAATTATCTGTTATTTCTAATGTGACACAATATATGTCAAATGGAATTTGGAACTTACTTTATAATAACAATTTTGAAGGTATTGAACTAAATTTTTTTTATAACTAATGAATATTTTATTTTATGTTATTTTTTTTTAGGAATGTCAGAAATATGTTGTATACGTTATACAAATAAAGATCAATTATTATTATTCTTTGATATAATGCAAAAATTTCAATATATACAATATTATAGTGATTTAATTAAGATTATTGTAGAAGATATACTTCCTAACATGAAGACCTTCTTTGATTATACACAATTGGAATACGTGAAAATTTATAAAATGATTTCTATTCTCTATCAAGGTTTAGATCCAAAAATTCCTATTTTAGTAAGAATTAATAAATAAAAATTATGATAATCGTTATTATTATAAAATTACCTAAAGACTGAGTGAATGAGTGAGTGAGTGAGAGAGATAGTGAAAGAAATATATATTCGTTACTATAGCAATTAGAAAACACAATGGATATTATTTTATAAATACAATGTATAATTTTATAAATTAATGAAATATTTTAATATGATTTTTAATACCAATAAAATAAATGTAATTAATTATAATTGATTTACAAGTGATGATAATCATTTATTTCAATTATTTAAAAATTATTCCTTTTAACTTAAGATTAATAATCTTAAGTTAATTAATAAGCAATTTATTAAATATTTTAATTCATTAAATAAATTATTGATTAAATTAAAAATAATCTGGAATACAAAAAATATTAACATGCAATACATTTATACAAAACAGCGATTAGAATTTGGAAAACAATGTAATTTTACAAATTATCAAAAAATAGAAGTTGATATTAAACCACATGCAGGATATATGAATCACTATATTCAAATAAATCCTACAACTAGGGCAACTCAATGTAGCAATATATATTCTATTCATGAGGTATATGCACATAAATTTATATTTAAAAATATATATATATATATATATATATATGAATATTATTATTGTTAATATTTTCAGGTGAATACCAATACTGCAACTTTTAAAGATAATGGTATGTGTCATTCTGAAGGTGGTTGGCCAAAAGATTTAAATGCAACAGATATAGAACAAGCTATGAGATATAGACGTAAAATAGAAAAAGATGAACTATATATTCATACAATGCTTCAATTGTTGCCTGTAATTAATTTTTTTTTGTTTTTTATCTTAATATTTTATTATTAATAAATCTATCAATACATATTTTATTATTTTTAGCCAATGGAACAATGCATTTCGCAGAATAATGTATGTAATATTTATGAACAATATTTTAATTATATGGAACCACTTTCTTTAATACAACAAGTATATTCACGTACAGTTAATGTATATCGTGATATTTTACCAATAAAAAGACAAATAACACATCTTTCATGGTCACCAGATCAAGGAAATCGTTTTGCAGCTTGTTATTGTAATACTGATTTTAAAAATGCAATAAATAACAATTTTCAATCATATATTTGGGATGTAGGTAAGTTGAAAAACTTAATTTTTATAATTAAAAATTTGTAAAAAAAAGATTTATATTTAATTTAAATTCATAGAAAATCCAAATATACCTTGTGTGACTTTAAAACCATTCTGTCCAATTCTAACATTGGAATACAATCCCAAGGATAGCAACATATTAATTAGTGGATTAATGACTGGTCAAGTAGCTTGTTGGGATATTAGAAAAGGATCAGAACTAGTTGAGACAAGTTTAATGGAATTTAGTCATAGAGATTTATGCAATAAAGTTTTATGGATAAATTCTAAAACTGGCACAGAATTTTTCAGTGCTTCAAAAGATGGACAGGTATAATAAGAAAATAAAATAAAAATTAATATAAATATGATTTATAAATTAATTGTATAGATAATGTGGTGGGATATTAGAAAATTACAAATGCCTACAGAAACATTAGTAATTGATTTATACAAACCTGATGATCAGAATATTAATAAAGCAATTGGAATTTCTGCATTACAATTTGAACCATCCATGGGTACACGTTTTATGTGTGGTCTTGAAAATGGTAAATAAACACCTTATATTATAACCATATATGTATTTATTTATATATTGTTATATGCTTAGATATAGTAATATTTATATTTATTCTATATTTAGGTATAGTAATATCAGGAAATCGCAAAGGTAAAACTTCAAGTGAAAAAATTGCAACAAGATTCAAAGCACAATATGGACCTGTAATAAGTTTAGAAAGAAATCCAACATTTGTTAAAAATTTTTTAACTGTTGGAGATTGGACAACAAGAATATGGTGTGAAGATTGTAAAGAATCTTGCATTGCTTGGACACCGTAAATATATTAAAAATCATCTTTTATATTAACTAAAATTAATACAAATTATATTAGAATTATATTTTAATATTATTAATATTATTCCATTAAAATTATATTTTAGTGGTCACAGAGATTTTTTAATGGGTGGAGCTTGGAGCATGACACGATTTTCGGTATTTTTTTTGATAAAAATGGATGGAACATTAGATATATGGGATTTGTTAATTCAACAAGATTCTCCAGTTCTTAGTGTGAAAGCATGTTTATTTTAATATATTATACCATTTAATAAAAATTTTGATCTTCAATATCTAATGAATGATTTTAATTGAATTTCTTGATTTATTTAAATTTGAAATAGAATTACATTTGTTTTGAAGATATAAAATTTTTTAATAAAAATAAAAATGTTGAAATGTTATATTAAAATAGTTATTTTAATTTTTAACAATGGAGAAAAATTCTCCACATAATAAAAACATTAATAATTATTTAATTTCATAATTCTAACTGATTGTAAAAATAATCTGGAATACAAAAAATATTAACATGCATTTATACAAAACAGCGATTAGAATTTGAAAAACAATGTAATTTGTTCATCATCAAAGTTAAAAAAAGAATAGATTTACTTTCTTGTAAATTTTTTGTATTAATTTTTGTTTATAAAAAGTTTTTCATGAAAGTTTTTCTTTATATAATGTTGGATTCTCTAAGTATTTTTGAAGAAAAAATTATTCAAAAAAGATATCGAAACAAAATGAAAAATTTAAATTTAAACAAATCGAGAAAATATTTAATAGCATTGTCATTTGTTTTTTTTTTTTATTTTTTGAATTTATGTTTAAGATAAAGAATTCAATAAAATCATTCAATTGTGGATTAAAAATACATTTTAATTTATTAAGCAATGTTATTTATATTTAAAAATTAATAAAATATATTATATAAATTAATAATATATATTAGGTTTGTGATGAAGTATTAACATATATAAAACCACATGAACAAGGACAATTAGCAGCAATAGCTAATAAGAAAGGAACAATATTTTTACTTGAATTTTCAAAAGCTTTAACAACTAATCAAAAAAATGATAAAGTTTTATTTACAACAGTAAGTTCTATTAATATAATGTACATAATAATTGTATATAGTAATTCTGTCATATTCAAATAATTGAAATTAGTTTCTTGATAGAGAAACACGTAGAGAAAAGGTAAAGGAAGCTAAAAACAGAGAACAAAGATTGAAAATGAAATCTCTTCGAAATATAAATTTTGAAATTGAATGTTCAATAGGAAATACAAAAAATGATGAAAAAAATCTTAAATATTTTAATAATCATGATGAAATATTAATACATTGCGAAGAAGATTATGAAAATGCTATAAAAGCAGTAAGTGTAATGTTTTTAAAATATATATAATTTAATATTAATGTAAGGGAAGAAGCAAAAAAATTTAATTTAAAAATTTGTTATTTTAGGAATTAATAAAAGAATAAAAACAAGAAATATAATAAATAACAAATACATGATGAACAAAGAAACAAAATCATATAATAAAAAACATATAATAAAATAAATTTTTATTATATGTATAAATTCAAAAAATTTTTATTCTTCTATATGTTAAATTTATTTAATTATGATTATTCCAATAATATGTAATTATTTGAAAAATTATTGTACAATAAATATCTATATAAAAAATATTTATTCTCTTTTTCTTCTCTTTGTATCTTTTTTTACTCGCGTGTGTATGTATATATGATAATAAAGAACAGATATAATATAATATATCAACCAAAAACTGATAACAACATTAATTGAAATTTCCGATAAATTCTAAATTTACCGGATGAGAATTAGCAAGAGTAACTGTTATTTTATATATCTATATATATTTGTGTAATTGCATACGTATTTTCGTTTTGAATAAATAAAAGTTTATATTTTATTTATGATATATATATATATATATATAAATATTATAATATAGTGAAAAAATTTGATTGCAGTTGAATATAAGTGTAATTTTTAAAAAATATAAAAAATACGAAAATATTTGAAAAAAATAATAAAGTTATATGAAAATTATTTATTAAAATGATATGTTAAAAAATTACTATACAAATACTTTTAAAAAAATAAATAAATTCCTGATATCAATTTATATATTAATTAAAAAGTTGTTAAGATTTAAATGAAAGATTTACATAACCTCTAAGAAATACTAAGAGGAATAAAATAAAATACTAAATTTTTTAAAAAATTAAATTTTTTATACAAAAAGTAATAAAAAGGACTATATAAATTTAGTTTATATTGCAAAATTTATTTAATAAGAGAAAATTTTAATAAAAAGAAATAAAAATAAAATATTCATAAAAATTTATTTTATTTATTTATAATTTATTTTTATTATATTTTATTACTTTATATTTTTTATTTTTATATTATATTTTTATATGATATAACAATATTTTTATAATTTATTTTAAAACATAATTTAAAACAAACTATTTTAAAGTTTTTATTGAACAATTTTTTTTCATTAATAAAAGAATATATGTGTGTATGTGTGTACATGTATGTGTTTGTGTTTACATTTTATTTAAAAAAAATTAATTATATATTGAAAAGTAAAAAAATATTCATTTTAAATATATTATAAATATTATAATTTTAGAAATCAAAAATACAATAAAAAAATATTAAAAATACCTATAATTAAAAAATTCTTTATAATTCAATTCAAAAATAAAAAATAATATAGGATTGTAAACTTTTATTATTAACGAAAGTTTTAGTATTAACGAAAAAAAATTAAAACAAAGTGAATCTAAAGTGATTAATAAGTATTTATTTTCTGCTAATAATATCAATATTAGAAAATATATAATTATACAAAATATACAAGTTTTTATCAATATTCATTATAAAATTAAACTAAATAAATTAAAATTATTTATTATTTAATATGGAAACCATGAATTTGTCAAAATTTTCATCAAAATCAATGGATGTTATCGTTGATATTCATCAAGAATATGAAGAAGACAAATTTTCTAATGATAACGATGAACAAAATAAAACGGTAGATAAAAATATTTCAAATTTATTTCTACAGGAATACAAAAATATTAATACATCTTCGAATATAAATACTATTCGTGATAAAAAAGTTAAAAGATCTAAAATCAATTTAACTGCACATCAAAATCTTTTACAATACGACAATGATATAAAAATTATAGAATCGGTAGATCTGATTGAAGAGTTCGAAAAATCACAGATTAAGAAAAAAAATGAAAAAAAAATTCGTGAAAAAAATACAATGAGAGATAATAAATCGAATAAGAAGAATAGGAATCGATCGTTTATCGAGGAAAAGTTGCATGATAGAAAACAATGGGATATATCAAAAAATGAAATAATAGAAATGAAGAAACCAACGAGAAAACGATGGTTAAAAGATACCATTATGATTCAATTACCGGAACCGAGGAGTATTTCTTGGACAAATATATCTCCAGATAATGTATCTTCGTCTGTTCAACATTCAAAACAATCATTGTCAACGGCATGTTTTTCAAACCAGCCATTGCCAGCGATATATTCTTCAAAACAAGCATTGACAACGAGAAATTCATTTTTAAAACAAAAATTATTATTTGGTTTTGATAATGCAGCTTTTGATTCGGAAAATGAAGAAATTCTTAAAATTGAAACCGATCACAATCACGATAATACGAAAATCGAAATGAAATTTGATGGCCGAAGTTCTCAAGATTTGAGCAAAGAAAACAAAAGTTTGAGAGAAACGACAATCATGATCGAAAATTTAAACGAGACTGAAAATTTAGATGAAAATTATGAAAATCAAAGAAAAAAAACAATATTAGATATTGAACATACTGAAAAATCTAATTATAATTATGATATATCTTTGAAAGATAGAATGAATCATAAATCAAAATATAAAAAAAATTTGTCTACAAATAAGAATGGGAAAAATATTTCTGATAATTCTAATACATCGCAAAGCTTGGAAGATATCACTGTACAATCAGATTCCTCCGAAAAAATATTAATAAAGAATAATCAAAAATGTAATCGAAAACATTCGATTAAAAATGATCAAAAGAATTCTAAAGAAAATTTAATATCTGTTGATGAACATGACTATCTAAATAGAAATTATTTAAAACATTCTAGTCAACAATCGTTCACTTCTGAGAATGATGATTTGAATGAGAATCGTTCGAAAAAAATTTACAATGAAACTAAATTAAAAAGATCAAATATGAAGAAAAAAAAAACAAATTATACAGAACAATGTCAAATGCAACAAAAACGAAAAATACATCGAAAAAATATTTCCACTTCATCTATCCATACACCAACTGTTAATGTCAAAGAAAATTTAAAAAAAAAAGAAAAAAAAGGAGACAAAAATATAAAATATATTTCTGTAACAATTCATAGAACGGATATGTTAGAGATTGATTACGTGACAAAACATCCTATGGTAAAGGTTCATATAATAAAAGGTGAGAGCGGGAAATATTTAAAAAATAAATATGGTACAAGTACATATTTGCAACCTATAATAACGGGAAAATTCGATTTCAAAGAAAATAAATCCATAATACCAATATGGGAGGAAGAACTTATTTTCGAACATAATTTCGAAGAGCTTCTGAAAACTGATAATGAATATATTGTAATTCTTTTCGAAATTGTAGATCTTTTAAGTTTTGCCGAAGCCAGTTTCAATTATGATAAATTTGGCAAGTTTTATTATAATAACCTAATATCATTAGTTCAAAATAATTAGTTTTAATCATTTTAATCATTTAATTTTATTTTTATTAATAGGTCATGAAAGTTGTTGGTATAAAATAGCATGGGCTTTTCTAAAACCTATAGGATACAACAATATATTACATATTGATAAAAAGATCAGATTACAACTATATAAGCCTCAAAAGAATTTGCAAAAATTTGAAAGATTTCATACATGTGAAGTAAGTTACATTTTTAAAAATGTTGTAAAAATTTATTTTTATTCTTAAGTGTTATCATATTTACTTTAAATTCTATTTTTAGTTTTAATTTTGGATAATCACAACTGATAATTTTTTTATAATATCATCTAATAATTGTGATTATCAATATACAAAAGAAAATTTTAAAATTATAGAAAAACTTAAGTATCTTGGTTATATATATATATATATATATATTGTTTTCGATTTATTTTATTTAATATCATCTCCAATCCACTTACACATTGTATTATGTATATTTCCAATAAGAATATTTTTTTATCAAATTTTATTCTACTCAGAATTTTTATAAAATTTTAATTAAATAAAATTGAAATTTATTGAAATTTTTTAGGTATACACATGGTGGAAATCAAACATTCGAGAAAAATATCCTAGTAGCTTATTTGTTACTATAAAATCCATCGATCCACCTAAATTAGAACCTGTTTTATATCAACAATTATCATTGCATTATTTATCCAATGCATGTAATGAATCACAAAAAATTCATACTTCGGACAATATAAATTTACCAAAATGGACTAGATTAACTGCACAATCTTGTAAAGTGCCAAATGATATTTTCTTTGAAACAGACATCAGCGAAAACGGATGTTTTTATGTTGCTTTTAGTAACAATGGAAAATATTTGGCTTGTAGCTTTGTTGAGGACCAAGATTATCCTATTGTCATTTATAAGGTGAATTACATAGAAATTTTTTGCTTTTGTCAATATATAAGATTAAATTTTAATGTGACTTATTTTAAATTTTGATTAAATTATATCATATTAAATCATATTATATCATATAAAATTTTTAATATATACTTCAGATTTTATACTCCTTGTGATTTTAAATTATCTTTCATATATTAAAAATAAATTAAAAATATTATAAATATTTAAACACTTCTTTACTATTATATTTTTCCGTTAAATATTGATATTAATAAATATTAAAACTTTTTTTAGGTTGAAGCAAAGAAAATACACATACGCTTTTTAGGACACAAAATTTTTATTTACTCTCTCCATTGGTCTAACAATGATAATTATTTACTTTCTGTTTCGTCAGATCAAACTGCTCGCATTTGGGATGTGCAGAATCAAATTACACAACACGTAGAAGTATATAATATAATTTATTTTTATATATATATATATTTATATTAAACACATTATTATGATATTAATCAAGATAAAATTGTACAATAGATGATGCCTCATCCTTCGTATGTATATTGTGGTAAATTCGAATCTGAAAATACCTCGATTGTAGCAACTGGATGTTATGATCGAATAGTGCGCATTTGGATACAAGATAAGAAATTGAAAAATCATAATCTTAATCAGGAATTAGAAGGTCACGAGGGTTTTGTAAATTCAATGTATTTTCAGAAAAATAGTAATTTATTAACAGCAGACAGTGTTGGAATAATAATATTATGGGCGTTAAAAAAGAATCGAAAAGTATCATTTAAAAAGGAATGGCATATATCACGAAAAATAAAAGTCAGAGAAATCGACGGTATAATAATTAATACAATTATTTTACATCCTTTGGAATCTAGACTTCTTGTTCATTCGAGAAACAATGGGTTAAAAATGTTAGATCTCGCAACTGGTGTAATATTGCAAAAATATAAAGAATTGAATAATCAAAGGTATTCTTTCTTTAATAATTTCAAATTTAATAAATTATAATTTGATTCTTTATACATTTGTTATATATATATATATATATATATATATATATATATAATGTAATGAACAAGTAATGGCAAGTTATGCGAATTATCATGAAAGATTTTTTTAAAATTAAAAAATTATAAAAATAAATATATATTTATTATATTTATTATATAAATAATATATATTTTTTTTAAATTAAATAAAATAGAAAAATAAGTATTTTAAGTACAATGAATTTTAGAAGGAAAAATATAAAAAAATTCTTTAACAGGAAAAATATTTCAAATAAATTTTATTAATTTGGATAATAATTATTCGAATAATAAAAAATTAACACATCATTCTATAAGTTTCTCTTATTTAAAATGCATTGTAATAATTATCTTATTTTTTTTATTTTATTTAATTTATATAAAAAAAATTTAAATTGACATCTACAATAATTTTGAAGGAAATATATTTATAAAACTAAACGTGATTCACTTTATATAATGTATAAATATAATTGTTTTGGAAATTGATATTATTACTAATTAATCTCTACATATAAGAATTTTTTTTAAATATTTGTTGCAGAATACAATCAACAGCCTGTATTTCTCCATGCGGTAGTTTAATCTTTTGCGGTGATGAAGATTCATCTTTAAATGTGTGGAACTTAGAAACTGGAAATCTTATTGCAAAATATACATTCGATCAACACTATCGGGCAGTAACTTGTGTAGATTATCATCCATACGATCATATGTTAGCTTTTTCAATTTTTGGCAGTTCTGCTCCAGTGAAAATTTTAAAATTTAATAAAGATGCCACAGGTGAAAATATAGGATTAAAAATGAGAGAAATTGAAAATATAATAAACAATAGGAATGTTTCTCTTGAATTTTTAAATACATCTGTAATATCCAAAGAAGATTTACAATCAAATAATAAAGAAATAATTGAAGATAAAGATACTGTAAAAGAAAAGAATTTGTTATCTAATCAGAGTTATGATTCTAATTCTTTTAAATTTCCTGATAGTATTCCTTTAGAAAAAAATAAATATAATAATACAAAAATAAAACTTCAACAATTAAATGAAACTGGACAAACAATAAAAAATCGTAGTGCGAATCGTTTGTATAATATTATTAAAAAAATTGATAGCATTTTATCAAATACATCAAAATCATCGGGCGATATTGAATCTGGAAAAAACTTTGTCCAAGAATTAAATAAGACCAAAGTTTTAACAAGTTTAGATGAAAATATAGAAAAACAGAAAAAAAAATTGGAAAAAAATATATCTATAAGTAGTGAGGATCAATCGAGTTATTTTGAGTCAAGTACAACAAATAGTGACAAACAGAAAGTTATTGAGAGTTACGTCTTACAAAGTAACAAAATAAATGATTGGCATATAGAAAAAAGATTGAAAAATATAAAGGAAATGAGAAATAATGACATATTAAAAAATTATATATCAGAAAGTTTTTCTGATAGTACTACTGATTATTATAAGATGAAAGTATATCATGAAAGTACAAAAAATTTATCGCAAGAAGATATTGAATCAGAGCATATTACTGAAATAGAAAAAAATGATGAAAAATTAGTTATTTGTGATAACCATTTTAAAAATAATGATTCAAATTCTACTGATAGCAAAATACATATTGTAGAAAAAAATGATGTAAAAAATTGTGATGAAATTTCATTAAAAATGTTTGAGAACAAAAATTTAGTTTTAGACGTTACAAATATTGAATCAAATGTAGATAATTATGGAAGTGATTGTTCGATACGTAGCAATGCGACTTTTATTATTGAACGTGAAGTTTCTACATCAAAATAAAAAAAAAATCTAATCTAAAATATCTTTTTAAGAATTTAAGAATAAAAATATATTTAAAATCATTATTTAATGTATTTAATATAAAATGCCTTTATATATTATAGATTATTGTACTTAAAACAAATTTGTAGTTTAAAAATATTTTATTTTATTTCTAAAGCATGTAATTTAAAAAATAATTAAAAAAATATTATTTATCATATAACGCGAAGTTGTTTCGATGATAAATCGTACATCGACAAAAGATGTCTACATATTATCTAAGAGCAATTAATTATTATATTATTTTACATTATAACAGTTAAGAAATAAACGTGCAAGTTATTTTAACTTAAATAAAATTATTAATTATTTTTATTTTAAATATGGGTTCTTTTTTCGGAAATATAGCTAGAATTTCTGTGAAAATAATTATTCTTCCTTTTTTGTATTTGACATATTTATATGGCGTATATTTAGCGAATTTAATTAATATAGCATTTATAATTTACATATTATTCATATTTAAATTAGTTGGTATAAGTATTGAAAATGAAGAGTCAGGTGATGAAGAGGTACGAAATTTTTCGTAATTATTAATTAATATTATTTATAATATATTATTTATAATATTTTTTTAACAATATTTATAGTAACAAAATATAAATATATATTAAATACTTTGTTAATTTCATAAAAACATGAGAAGTTGATAAAATGTATGATTTTTCTGGATGCATTACATATATATGTACATATATGTAATTAAAAAATGAATCTCGCAAAAAAAGCGAGAAATGGGCAGTATATTGACAAGTTTAGCTACGATTGGCATTAGTCTCATTTTTTATCCTTTCCTATTTCTTTGCTATATATACATTCTTTTTATTATGATCATCTTTAATATTGTACATTCATTCTATATTTTTCTTTTAATGTTACTTAACGGTTTTCCGGATAGCACAATTATTGATTAAGATTATGTGAGTTTATAATCTACAAATAAAAATATGATTTTCAATTATTTTTCGATTTATATATTTATGCAAAATCTGCATTATTACTTTACTTTCAGGACTTTGAAGATGCTGAATCTAATATCAATTCTGAAGATACAAATCAATCTCAAAATCTATAAAATATTCATGCAAACATTTTCATTTACTTAAAAATAATTATATAAATTTATAATTTCTTCCATTTGGTTAAAATGTAAAATATTTTTCAAGAAATGTGTAAATGAAGTATCAATTTTCATAAATTTAATAAATATATTTTTATAAATTTCAAAACTATTAATTTTTATTAATATTCAACTTATTAATAATTCTTTTATAAAAAAAATAATTTTTTATATTTATATATATACATTAATAAATTTCTATAAAATGATTTGAACAGCTTTAAAGAATAAATTTTATTACGATTATTTTTATTGCATTTATAAAATATATTCTATTTTAAAGAATAATAACAAATATAATAAAAAAATATGCACAACTATACTTGATTTTACTGAGTGTCATTTTTGTAGTTTTAATAATTCGAATGTAAATTATGCGTATACTTCAAACTGCTTTAAATTTGCAATTATTGCATTTTTAAATTTGCATTTTGTGCAGTATTTTCTTATATGTATATATTTTCAGATGCATAGTATAAACGTTACTAGTTCAGAAACTGCCGGTATGAAGCTTGTATGGCATCAGAGAATAAAAACATAGTAGAAATGTACTGGATTTTATCATATACATTTCAATTTGACAATCAAAATTGTTAATTATCTTAATTATGTGAAAATAAATTAATTAAATATTATATTTTGGATTTTAATATTTAAAAAAATAATCTTTTTCGATAAAAAACTTTTTTGCTGCAATGGTAATAATAACGAAATTGATGTTTATTGCAGTTATTTATGGTAAATTTATTTATTTTACTCAATGTTTACAAAATATAATATTTTAGATTAGAGTTTAAATTAGATTTATAAATTAATATTAAATGAATTTTATAACCTTCAAATATTGTCGATCGATAGTATTTTAGAATTTGATTATTACCATTTAAATCTTTAATTTAATTTTAGTTATTAAAATTATTATAAGTTATTAGAATAAATAATTTGTCTAATTCAATATTTTTAAAATAATTTTTTTTTCAATAAATAATCTTATAATTTCAATAATTCAACCAAAAAATTTACATGTATTATATGTGATTAGATTTAAATTTTAATGTGTATATTATATATAATTATATATATTTTTTCTTAAATATATATATATAATATATACATAATATATATATATATAATATATATAAAAATTAATTTATATATAATATTTTTTAAAATAAATTTTTAAATTTAATTTTTTTAAATATTTTAATTAATGTCTTTAAATATATTGATTATATTATTATTATTATTATATATATATATTATATATATATATTATATATATATATATTATATATAATAAATTGTTATTATATATGTATTATTATTAAAACATAATTTAGTTTTTTCAGGTACTTTTACTTCTGTAATAGCATCACGTGTACTTGAGTTAAGTGATAGGTATATAATGATTAATATTAATTTTATATTATATTAATATCAATGACACATATTAATATTTTTTTATATTTATATAATTTTTTATATTATTAAATTTTTTTTATAGATTTTTGGACATTCATAAAGATGGACAATGGCTTGTAATGGTATAAAATATTTTATATCTATATATGATTCTCTTATTATATTATATTCTCTATTATATTATTCAAATAAAGATACTACTACGTTATAATATTATTTAATGTTATATAATGAGAAAATTATCTTGTATGTTTCTTTGTATAATTATAATTGTATAAATATATATTATAAAAATTGTTTTTCTTCTATAGATGTATGCACCATGGTGTGCACATTGCAAAAGATTAGAACCAATTTGGGCTCATGTAGCACAATATTTACATGCAACATCAATACGAGTTGGACGAGTTGATTGTACTAGATTTACAAATGTTGCTCATGCTTTTAAAGTTAAAGGATTTCCAACTATTATATTGTAAGAAAAAAAATTATATTTTTTTATAATATAAAATTATATATAAAATAATATTTTTTTATATTTTATATATAGTTTAAAAGGTGAGCAAGAATTTATATATAATGGGGATAGAACACGAGATGAAATAGTAAAATTTGCATTAAGAGTAAGTGGTCCACCAGTTCAGGGAATAACAAAAACTCATAGTTTTGACACTATTAAAAAGGAACATGATATATACTTTTTATATGTTGGAGAACGATCTGGTCCATTATGGGTAAAATGAATATTTAATTTTATTTATAATATAATAAAAATATTGTTAATAAAGATATTAGTTTATATAAATATATTTAGGAATTTTATCATAAGACTGCAAATGTGTTCCAACCACATGCATTTTTCTATCAATCTCATCCAAATATTGTTAGTAAACATGCTCCTGTAGAAAATATTCCAGCATTATTTGTTTATAAGGAGAATATACATTACAACTTCAGTGGTAAGTATCTGTGATATATTAATATTATGTATAGAAATATTTTTAGCTACTTTACTTTTTTTATTAATTATATATTATATATTATAATAGTAATATGTATTACTAGTAAATATATATTATATAATAGTAAAATAATAATATTAATAATTATTAAATAATATGTTTTTAATAATAATTATTTTATAATACAGATCATAATATAGATGATATAGAAAAATTAAATGAGACAATGTATAAATGGATAAATGCAGAACGTTTTCCCACATTTCCAAAAGTAACAAGAGGAAACATAAATCAACTTTTTTTGACAAATAAAAATTTGGTTTTGGCAGTAGTAGAAGAAAATCAATTAGAAAAAATACCACTACACATGGCACGGTTTAAAGATATGGTAGAATCTATCATTAAAAACAAACGAGAAAAATATCATGAGTAAGTTATATTATAGCAATTTGCGCATTATTATTTTGAATAAAATTGATTGTAATTATTTTTTTTTATATTTAGTTATTTTCAATTTGGTTGGATAGCTAGTCCAGATCTAGTCAATAGTATAGCAATGATGGTTTTACCATTACCAAGTTTAATTGTTATTAATACTACAACAAATCATCATCACATTCCGGAGGATGAAACTGAAAAATTAACTCCTCATGTGATAGAATTGTTCCTAGAGCAAATTCGAAATGAAAGTGCTCCGGTAAATTAAATTTTTTTTTTTAAATAAATTTATATATATAATTAAAAAAAATTAATATTATGGGATATATTTTATTATATAATATATTTTCAGCGATATGGTGGAAATAATTGGTTGATACGTATATATAGATCATGGTTTGAATTAAAAACAACTCTTTCTGCAATGTGGATGGGTAATCCCATTCTAACAATGGTCTTATTTGGTTTACCAGCAGGATTCTTATCATTAATATGTTATGGTATTTGTTGTCCAGATATTTTAGATGCAGATGATGACGAAGAAGGTATAAATTTATTTTTATAATGTTTATATATATAATATAGATATGTATATATATTTTATCTTTTAATATTAAATGATTTTTCAGATCATCCAGGAGCAAATCATATGAAGAAAGATTAGAATAATTGGATTAACATATTGTTTATATTAAACAATTGTATAAAATTGTAAATTTTTAATCTGTAAATTTCAATTTCATTTAGGTAATATTTATTAATTTTATATTAAAAAGTTTAATAATTGATATGATTGTACCATATGATTGGTATTTTATTTATTATTACAGTAATTTAATATATTAATTTAATTGAATTACATGAATTATGAAAATGATAATGAATTATAAAAATAATTTTTTGTAATTAGTAAAATGAAACAAATTTTATGAATATATACAAGATAGTCCATAATACAAATAGATCAGGAGATTCTATCAATTACGTATTATCCTGTATATATACAGATATACACAGAATGTTAATATATTTGTAACATACTTTTGGAGACTTAATTTTAGGAGATCAAAACAAAAATTAAAATGCAAAAATATTGGTTGAGGATTATTTATTAATTTATAATCAATTTAAATTTTCATTGAAGCAAAAAGAGAAACGGTGATGTAAAAGTTATAGAATGATTATATTTAACGCAAATTTCATTTTCTTACAACTTAATGAATAAATATCAGCCAATATTTTTCAATAATAATAATAACTTACATATTTGTTTTGGCTTCTAAAATCGATTTTCTAAAAATGTTCCACTAATATATTAGTATTGTGTACACATAATGTAAAAATAAGTATCTTAACTAAATGGAACTTTCATAAGACAATACAAATTATATGTAGACGTAAATAAGCTTTTTTAAACCTCGTAGAAAAATTTATTCTATATTACAAAAAAAAATATAAAAATATATTAAAGTTTTATGAAAAAATGTAAGTAGTAAATAATGTTCTGTATACTTTGAAATTAAATATATATATGTTTGTTTATGTAATTATAATGAAAAATACTTCATAAATACCACATAAATGTTGAAAAGTTTAAATATTTGATGAAAATATAATTGTTTCAAATACATTTTATGTATATTTTTACCTATATTTAATAAAAAGAGATAACATTTCAAATTTACAGCATTAAGAATATTAATAAAAGAATGGAATGTTGAATTTAAAAACATGAGCTGGATTAAAATAAGTATTAATATTAGATTTTAATTTTTATTTCAATATATCATAAAAAATAAAAATGTATGACTAATTAAGCGTACAGTAATATTATAATCTTAATTTTTGTTCAAAAATTAGATAAAGAATATTATATCGTCTTTAACAAACCATATAATTGTATATAGGTGCTATAAATCATCATCAGAATCCAATGCTGCTCTTCGTCTGTCAAACTAAAATTAATAATTAATGAATTCATTTCTTTTTAAACATATCATAATATATTATAACTAACCTTCACAATAGTTTTTCTTTGCGTTTGTTGATTTACACTTTCAAGTAAACTGATAAGTTCTTTTTCCCCTAATTTACCAGGTAATTGACCTCGTTGAGCCATACTTAATATCATATCTTCTACCATCTTTCCTTTTTCAGGTTTACCAAGACATAATGTATTTACTAAAGAAATAATATATATTATAAAATTATATACATAATGTAAAATATATATAAAATATAATATTCTTACATCTTGCTCTAGCTGATTGATCTAACACTTGACTAAGAATAGAATTTCTCATATCTTCCATTTGTTGTATTTTTTCTTCCATTGCTTGTTTATTTTCTGCATTATTATTCTAAACATTTAAAAATTATCTAATTATTATAATAACTACTTATTGAAGTAGTATTTATGTACAGTTATAATATTAATATTAATATGGTTAAAAATTTAAAATCAGATGGTTAAAATTTAAAATAAAAAAATTTAAAATTAAAAAATGAATTAAATATACTATATCATGAAATTAAAAATAATATTTTAATTATTAATTAACTTAATTTGATTTTTATTTATATTTTTGTTGAATAATTTATGGTTACACTTGTCAAAAATATAATATAATTTACCTTATATTGGGATTGCAACTGAGCTAAACGTTGTTGTCGTATTGCTTCAAGTTCTGGGTCTGACATGTTTTATAGTATTAATTCTTTACTATTTGATATTGAACAAATTTTATTTAAATTCAATATATTTTTTAATATATGTGTATTCCTGAGAAACGCAAGTTCCGTTGAAATGTAGCAATGAGAAAGATGAAGGTTGTCGAATACATACACGTCGAATATACATAAGTACGCATGTCAGTAAAGATTTGGATTTTTAATGAAATAATTCAGTGATTTTATTTATACATATAATAGTAAATATTTTTTAAATAGATCATATAAATTATTATTATGCAGTATTTAAATATATACTTACATATAAAAATAAGTTTTAAAGAATATTATAAATAAGTGTTGGCCAATATATGAGTATATAGGTTATTCTCATTGCAAATTATGATCTTATATTAGTTTTATGATCTTATATTAATTAAATTTTTAATTAAAAATGATTTTTAAAAAGATAAAATATATTTTAGAAAACATATAAAAAAAATTGTAAAAAATTCATAATTAATTTATGAAAATTGTATAAAAAAAAGAATTTTAAATAAAATATAGTTTCAAGAAAGTTATAATTTCTTTTATAATTTAATAATTTAAGATTATTTTTTTAATACAATATCATAAAAATGGTGAAATTTGCTTTTAAAATTATAGAAAAATTGTACATTTTTATATATATATTGCATATACATATATTTTATATATTTTTTAATCTTTTTTTTCTTTTTTTTTCATAAAATTTCTTTTTCCTAGATTTTCCAACATTTTACATTATAAGTTTACTTTTACAAGTTTTTCGCTTCGGACATAGTTTTCTTTATAAAATTTGTTAAATAAATACTTTCAGAATAAATAATAATAAGAAAAAATAATACAAAATTGTTATAAGAAACTTGTTTGAAATTTTAACTTTAAGTTGTTAAAGTTGTTTAAATCTAAATTATAGATTTGTATAAATTTTTAACAAAAAATTAATTAATTAATTTTCAATATAATATTATTGAAGTAATTATGAAATTACAATATTATTGAAGTAATTATGAAATTACATAACTTTGTATAATGTATAAATATAGTGATATTTTGCCCTTTTCGTACAATATTATTTTCCTTTTTTGTATCATCACGAATACTTTTTTGCATATTATGCTAATAACAAGTTAGAGTTTCCGCAATTCAAACGTGAGATGACGTTGATTTTTGATCGTTGTCTTACTTATCGGCAAAATATATTTTGTATTTTTAATATTATTTATCATTCTTTTTTGTGTATTTTTAAATTTAAATTTAAAAATGTATTCTATGTTTTTAAATTTTAATAATGCTACATTTTTATAAAAAATGTATAAATTTTTATCCTATATATTTTTTTCTGTTATTTTATATATATATATATATTTTTTATTTTTATATATTATATATATCATATTTTATACATATATATTTTTTTTATATATGATAGTTTGTATACGAATTAGAAAAAAATTTCATGTGTCATTTCTTTTTCGATTATATTCTCTAGAAATAAAGAAATTTCATCTTTTTATATTAAAAAAATAAAAGAAGACATGATAACAATCATAAATAACAAGAAGATATGATATATAAAATTTTTCTGTTATTTGTGAAAAGAAAAATTTTTTTATAACAAATAATGTATTTTTAATTTATATATATATTAAAAAATGGATTTTATTAATACATATTCAAAATTATATAATTTCTAATATACATGCATGTATTATTTTTTTATTATTCGATATTAGAAGGTATTATAAATTTAAATTATATAATACATATGTATGTATCTATGTTATGTTAATTTTATATAATTTATATAATATAATATATCTAAATATTTTATTTTGGAAGAATTAAATATTGATAAATGTCATACAATTTATATTTATACAGAAACTTTATTATTCTAAATCAATATTAAAAAGTACAAAACTCTTTTTTTATCTAAATAGAATTTGTACTATCATACCATGGTGGCATCCAATTTGTTGAAGGTTTTGTTCTTTTTTTAAAAATAGACAATGTACCATCAATATTATAATTTTGATCTGTTTGTTTTCTGCGTATTTCATTTTTATTCTTATCAAAAGTTTCATTATCCAAAACAACAAATGATTGACCGTCGATGAGTTGTTTTGTATTTTTACCAAAACTAGGAGAATATGGTCTAATAATGTTAGTTTGAAGTACACAATTCGATGAAGAATCATGTATTCTTCCGGAAGACTGAAATGATGGCGAATGTCTATGTCGGAAACCTCTTGGCTCATCGACATTACAAACATGAAGTCGATATGTTGGACTAGTCGATCTATGTTTTATTTTATTATTTTCCGTTATATTTGATTGCATTTGTTTTTGGACATGCATTTGCGAAGATTTTGATCCCCTAAATTGTATTATACATATTACAATCAAAATTATATATTTTAACGAATATTAACGAATATTAATTTCTGTTATAATAATTTCACAAAAAATTCGAATTTATATCTATTTTACTTTCAAATTAAATATTTCAAATCTTATATATCAATATTTTTTTATCATAAAAATCAAAAATTTCTTTATAAGCAATAAGTAAAAAATATCTTGCACATTAATACTAATTATTTAAATTCAACTTATTATAGTCAAGAATTTTTAAATACAAACCTTCGATTACTTAATGGTGGTTTTCCACAGACATTATCTTCATGAACTCGCGTATTTAATATTTGAAACGCACCTTGATCTTGAGCAGCATTTATGATTCCAAATTGTTCTGAATTATTACTTATCCAATAATTTTCTTTTCGTCTAGAAGCGCTTAAATTACGATCTCGTCTACAATGCATTCTCTGATCGGCTTGTAATTGATTTTCACGTTTTACGCAATAAGCACTTTTATATTCCGGTTCAAGATCAAGATTACCTTCTAGGCGTAAGTTGGCAGGCATTTTTAAACTTTCGATTCTTGGTATATGACCGTAAGGAATGTATTGAGCTCGTACCTCGCTGGTAATTTCGTGATCGTATCGTTTGCAATCTTGTCTTCCAAAACGTACACCATATTGCGAAGAATTGAATGTTGATCTTGAAGGTAATGGTGATTTTCGATCTCTTTGATAATCTAAGTATTTCGATTTGTATTCTGGATCTTGATCAATTTTTCTTAAAAATTTTAATGTAGGAGAGGAAAGTATTTTTGATCCATCAGCTCGTCCAATTTCATCTTCTGGCTTTATAATTTTAGGTCTTTCTCTTGGGAAATCCTATAGGTAAAGAAGTATTCAAATTATATTCTTAATAATATTGTGCTATAAAATTGTTGGCAACAAAATTCTTATATATAGCTGATATTTTATTTTTTTTTTTTTGTTATTGTGATATAGATAGATAAAAAGAATATATCGACCAAATTAGATTAAATAAACATTATGTAACAATTTCAATTCGATATAATGCAAACTATAAATTAATTAAAAATAAAAATAGAAGAATCGATGAAACGATAATTTAAAGAATTAGAAATTTCAGAATTAGAGTTTGCCTTATATGCATCTTTATATTCCGGGATTTCAAGTGGTGAAGTCTTTAGATCTTCTAACTTTGAAACCAATATTTTCATCTCCTCGTCTTTCCTCTGTTTCTCAATTAACTCCTTTCTTCTTTTTTTCTCTTTTTCGGAATCTTTGTTCGATTCGTGCGTCAATCGTGTTTCCTCGATACTAGGATCGATAAAATTAACAATGTCCTGTGTATTTTCAAAAAATAAGTTTCCAGATTTTAGATGAGTTTCGGGTTTTACAGGGTGTGGACGTTCTGCAAAATACAAATATCGAAGTATTTATCAAATTTAAAAATAACAAATTTGCATAATCACCTTTATTATCGTGTTTCTTAAACATATCGGTATATTCTGGCACGAAATTAGCCTCGCCATTTAATTTTAAATTGGTATTTTGCCTTAACAATTCTGGTCTTCGCACACCTATAAACGGTACGTATTTTTCCTGATTTTCCGTTGTTGTTTCAAATTCACCTTCGAGTTTTAAATGTGTAGGTACACGTATAAGTTCCGGTCGACTAACGTTCAACCATTGGATGAATTTTTCACATTTTTCGGTAGTTGTTTCCAAATCACCTTCCATTTTTAAAGATGTGGATCTACGAGCTAGGTCAGGTTTATGTCGACCTTCGTAAGCCACGTACGACGAATAAGTTTCCGTATCTGTGTATAATTCACTATCACGTTTGAAACTGGTATCCCTGTTACATCGTAGAGATATTAATTGAACGATCAAAATAAATAGATCGATTAATTCCTATACGGAGAACGATTAAATAATTTCATTTTGTTCACTATTTAATAAATATCTTTTATTATATTATTGTTAGAAAAGAATTTATTATTTTCACACACGTTTATGGATTAATAGAAATATTTTTTGAGAAATTTTATTCGTTATCGATTATATTCATACCTTTTGCTCAAAGAATTTCGTTTAAGAGAATTGGTAAGAGGTTCGGTCTCCATCGTATTATTATCATCATTGATCTCGCTCGTTTTATTTTTAATCGGATTTATTTTCTCTCGTTCCCTTACGTCTTTTCGAACTAAAACTTGCCCGCTTTCACTCAATTCTTTTGTCCCAAGATTTTGAGGCCAGACACATTCCTACGGTAAGGGGTACATCTATGAATCGGAAAATTTAACAACATTACTTGGATCACGAAGGTGTTCAGATTTGAAACGAGAATAAATCGTAAAGTTGTATGGTCTTTAAAAAATGAGAAAAGTTGATTCACTGGTTAGAGATAAGAATACAAAGAAGAATACGAACCTCGAGGGATTCTTCGCTTCTCGCGCGAAAAGCTTGACGATATTCGGACACGAGATCTTCGTTTTCAATCTCGATGTAAAGTCGAAGATTGTCCTTTGGTTGTCCCTGTACACGCCTTCTTCGATAACGAGCCAACTCGTCCACTGTCAGTCCTTCCAGCAAAGGCCATATTTCCTTCGATTTATTCCTCTTTCGATTTTTCTTTTTACTCTGTGCTAGCTCGGTGTCCGAGGAAGATTTATTGTAAGAGGACCATCCAATTTTATTATGGAACGTTCGATGCCTATAATAACGCGTTATAAAAATAATTGTTCTAGAAGACTAGATGAAAATTGGAAAAAAATTTTGTTTCTCGTTTCTCCTGATTTATTGCCATCAAAATATTTTTCCTCGGGGATACTTAAAAGGGAAAGACCATAACGTGGAAACAAGTTGACCATAAAACTAAACAATCGGAGAATAATACATTCGTTGAGGAATGAATTATTTTGTATAAAAATTATTGTAATAGTGATTTTCCTGAATAAATGTTTCCGAAATAGAAAAACAAGTTATAGAATAAACAAATTAATAAAAAAGATGATGAATTGTAAAAATAAAAATAGCATTTTTCGATTGGAAATTAACGTGATAAAACGTCACGTGTAATCGTTGTAAAATTGCAACAAGATAAAAGAAAAGAGAGATGGAGTATCGAACCGGGTGGATGCCCGGAACGGACTGAAATGTTTCAGCGAATGTATTGAAGCTGCGGGAGGATATAAAGGTGGGCGGAAGTGGAGGTGGTGCAGCCCGAGGAGGGTCGAACGGAAGAACAGGAAGAGGGTGGTACGTGCCTTTACGGAGCGAGCCTTCCAGACGCGACGCATCGATCTACGACAACAATGAGAGGGAGAAGGAAGGGGAGAAGAGAGAGGGGGGGGGAGGAAGGAGTTCGAAAAAGAAATTTCGTTAAAGTCTAATAGTTTACGTGCACGAAAATGTTTAAGCATTATCCAGTTTCGTACCAACGACATTGACGACGTAACAATACTTATCGGAATTTATATAAATGTTTCGACCTAAAAAGAACTTTTGCTAACTTATGTCGCGATAGAAATTGATAAAATGGAATTGGTAAAAATAGACATTGAAAATTATGATAAATGGAATATGGGTACGAATTTATTTTCGCAGACATCAATTCATTGAGTTTTATGTTTAAAGAAGCTATATGAATATTTTTAAAGTTTTATAGATAATATTAAAAAAGAGCAATTGAAATATTTATAATTTAATTACTTTGGAAAATTATTTTTGATTAATGAATATAAAGCAATCTTTGTTTTTATTCTTCAATTATAAAATAAGAAAATTATCAAATCTAGCTGGATCATTTGATCATATTTTTCTATTTATTTAAATTATAATTTTATTATTAAGAAATTTTTAAAATCAGATATCGAAAATATAATGTAAAGAAGAAACTGACATTAAATTCTTGTCATTTTTTGATGAATGATTACAGAAAATAAATGATCACTCTTTAAAGATTTATAATTCTGATAATGTTATTTTTAAATTCGCAGACGATAATTGTGAAAACTTTCGAAATAAAATAGCTGCTTAATTGAAAATAAAAAATAAAATTATCTGTTTAGCAATCAATACTTCAACATGACCTACAAAATAAGAGAGTGAGCGTAATTGACCAACGTTTCTTCGTGATTGGCACACAATTATATTATCTTTACTGGAAACTGGCCCTGATTTCAAGCACTGTGTGCTCTTTATCGATACAGATTTGGAACATGTACAATACAAATATCTACCCCCAAATCTTAAATGAGCTTTTGAACAAACAGATCTTTATCAATTACAGACATTTACAAATTCGTTAAAAACATTACATAAGTTATATAAATAATTACAAGAATTTTAAATAATATATTTTAAATAGTATAATTCTTAATCAATAATAAACGATTTATAGCACGTTGAATTATATTATTTAAAAGAATTTTTTACTTTAGAGTAATTTATTTCAACTTGTAGTTTGCGCTTTACGTGATCAATGACCATCATGATCACGCGATAAAAGACCATCAATGTATTTTGGGAAAGCAATTGGGGTGTAAAACACGAACAAATTTAACGAATGTTTATAATTTTTCGTTTATTTTTTAATTTCACGTATCTTCAGATTGAACGTATTTTATAATCAAGATCGAAGCTTAATCCTCTTTCGTTCATAAAAGAAATAAGAAGTTAGGTTAGTTGTTGTTATTCGAGAATTACTTTTCATGTGCCGAATAATCGTGAGGGTCAATGAAGGAAACGCGACGTCAAAGTTCAACATAACCTGGTGACCTCGATTTTCCATGATTGTAGCCGACCACGAATTTTACATACACCGACAAATAAATGTCCGTGACGCGTTGATGTACGCACACGCAACTCTACTAGTGGATTCGGTCAGTAATTTTACTGGTTCGCATGATTCGATCTATTCGATGCATTTTATATCAACATGCAAATCTAATTACTTTGAAGAAAAAAAAAAGTTATGCGCGTTTAAATAGCTGATAATTATTTTATATTAATTTATAAAAGATTAACAAAAATATTACAAAAAAATTATATAATTATTGTATATATTGCTTTGCTAATTGAAGAAATTTTTGCGTTGAGCATATAGCATTACGTGAGTATCTATCATAAATATAAAGTCAGGGTTTCAATATCTCATTTATCCTTCTATTTTTTCCTTCTATTTTTTCCTTCTATTTACGATGAATTTTTAATGTAAACTCATTTTCTGAATTAATAGATTCGATTTTGATCGATGTTGAGGTTATCGGCAAAGAATTTTTTCGATCGTTATCATGTCATGTACTTAAGCTTGGAATTGTATGTGAAATAATAATTATTGGAATCAGTTTTTTAAATCAAAATTCTCATAGAAAAATCGTGAGTAAATCAAATTTATTCGACGAAAAGGAATAAGCAATAAACTAATAGAGTTTCTTAACTCTATTTTAATGGAGTTTAATGGAGCTGTTTAACATTTATATATTTAGATAAAAACATGAATTAATTATATAAATTTGTTAATGTTTGATTATAAGTCAAAAGTTAACAACACATTTATTATTGGAAAAATCTTATAGCAAAATGTAATTTTGCATTAATGTAAGTGATGAATAGTCGAAATACGAAGAATGCTTTTACTCAAGACAGGAAATTAACCTAGATTACAATCTATGGCCAATCATTGTCAATTTTCGTTAAAATCTGGTATTTATTGTCCTAAATTTCTTCGAGAAATTAAGATGATAATTTCTTTAGGTAACTTATTTATTGACGTATACGATTTATTCATGTAACGTAGCAATAAAATGATATTGTAATATTTTAATATTACAATAAATCATCGTGTTACGATTACATGATTTGATAATATCTGGATCAATTACATTTTTCGAATTTTAAAAATTTTTTTTCTTTCGTGATAGAAGTTTCGATCTTCATAAAAGTACGAATCTTCCAATCATAAATTTACATTCCAATATAGGGTTGGTTATTATGCTATATCAAACTATGGAATAAATCACACAAGTTTGGGAAATTGATTAAATTTTATTCGAAAAAAGAAGATTGCTTCATAAATAGCCAAATTGCATCTAATTTTTTCTTAAAAAATTTTTAATTCGTTGGCAAAAATTTTGAATCGCCTCCAAGATTTTGAATAAAATCGTTTGTTAGTCAAAGAAATGGGATAATAGTTTGATAAAAAACTTATTGTTAGCTCAGATCAAAAATTTAATTTTTCGAAAAAAACATCATCCATGTGATTATATTTAATGCTAATTTAGAATTTTTGAAATTGGAGAAAAGACGAGTTCAAAAAGCCTATCAATATTATTAAATTTCATTTCTTCAATACTATTAAATTTCAACCACGATATAAATATTACAAAAAAGTTCTATCTTTAAAATATAACAAATTCCTTGTTTTATAAAAAAAAAAGAAACGATAAGATAATTAAAATCTCGTAAAATATTCTGAAAAATTATCGTTAATTTCTCTCAAGGAGAGAAATTAAGATGGAATGACTTTTCAAATAGTTTACAGAACAAATAGCCCCTAACGGTTCGTTAAACTTGGAAAGTTCAATAGCCTGCAATCCATTCTCCCACCGATGTGACTCGACACCGGAAATATTTGACTATTAGTTACCTTTTGTCAGCACGATCACTTGTGCCCTCGTCCATTGCATTCTCCTATCCCAACTATCAGATTCCGACCTCTCAAATCTATCACGCCCAAAGTGATTTTATTCCCGATCGTCGAACAGATTATTGAGAAAAGACTGTTAACGGAACGAAATCGATAAGATGACTCGACCGCACCAAAGCTTTCTGCTGGCGTGACTGCCTTTTCGGACAAGATGTTAATGAAAAGGTGCCGGTGATACACCTGCGCAGCTGCGACGAAAAGTTCACTCGACTTGATCACACGCTAGATGGTATAAAGATCGAGCATCGAGCTCGCTTCTAGCCATCCGTTTCGATTTTGTTTTTCGAAGAATTCGATTATATCGGGGTGTGAACGTTAATTGCGGAGATTGCCCTGTCGCAATTTTCCATTCGATTTACCAATTCTTGGAAAATCCAATCGATTAATACTGAACATTTTCATATTATTCTCTTCGTATGTAATTGGTTGGATATCAGTTGTTTCCCAATTTATAAATTGTAAGCTGAATTTTCGTGGCATCTATTTCTATTATGACCTATTGAGGGATTAATCATCATCATATACGTATCACATATCAGATTTTTACGAATAAATTTTATTTAATATTTCACCGATATTTTTATCAGATCTTTTGCGCCTGCATGCGATTAAAAATTTATTAAAATTCTTTCTCTTTATCGCATACGTAGAATTCTTGATTTTTATGTTTCTTTAGATATCATCGCAATAGTTAAACATGTATGCAATCGTTATTCACATAGATATTAATGCTTTTCCGTGTTATACACGCGATATGAACATATGATACCACATTCAAAGCCATTGTCAAGTACATCAAGTTACATCAAGTTGAATTAATCAATCACATATTATATATCGCAAGTTATAATTATTATAAATGATAATGGATTGTGAATGAAATCGTTAAAGCAGAATGTGTCTTTACAATTTATATTTTACATACATTGGACATAGATTTCTACTATCAATCGTTTCCCTCTCATATATCAAATCTGATATCTCATACATTATAAAATTATATTCACCGATCGCATTAATTGTAATAAATACAAGTTAACTCGCACATTGTTCTACGATTTGCCATAAATTTTTTTAATCAGATCTTAAAGATCTAAATACTAAAATCTATAAACCAGCTTACTAACAGCATCCTTATATCAAAGATACTCTTCTTTTATTTAAAGCAAAAAGTGAATCTCATTTATTACTGATGCTCTATTGAAAAATTTATTTTTTTTCAAAAAAAGTAAAAAGCCAGAATAAGAAAGAATAGAAGATGAAAAAGAAAGTAAAATATAAATAAAAAAACGCGAAAAAGAAAAATTAAAAAAAAGCGAAAAAAAATCAATTCGAATCATTGCCAATCTTATCTATCAATTTTATATACCAAACATATATCAATTGATTTGCACAAACCGTTGAATAGATGATACTTATGATAAGCCGAACTGAGAGTTATGACAGTAGAAAAACGTATTCAATGTGCCAATGCAAGAATGCAAGGAAGGAACATAGAGGTTTTGGAACATCTCGATAGGGAAATAGAGAGATAAGAAATAAAAAAAAAAGGAAAAATGAATAGAAAGTAGATAAAAATTCTTACTTACTAGAATTGGATTACGAAGACAACATCCAATATGTAGAATTTAATTCTGGTATCAAGATATCAATCGGCAAAAATGCGGATCCTCCTACTCATTACTCAAAGTAGCTTACAAGCACTCTTCAATGACTCTTGCTATCATATTACATCACAATTCGATAGTCATTTGAACAAAATTTGAAGAGAGCAAAAAAAATTAATAAATTATAGAATAATTTGTAGAATAATTATAGAATAATAATAAATTATAGAATAAATATATAATTAATTTAGTTAATATAATTAAATATATAATTATAAAAATAAATATTCAAGAAGAAATTAAACTAAAAAAAATATTCAATTAAAACGATTCGAATAATTAAATATAAAAATTCAAAATGAAACGAGAAAACAATAAAAACACAAAATACAAAAACACAAAAGATCATAAACAAAGGAATAAAAGAATTGATTTTTATTTTTCGTTTTAAGTTAGAAAGTATACATGGAATGCATTCATAATAAACTTAGTTAATTAAGTATCTATTTTATAACATACTTACATTTTCTAATTGTAAATTATATTTATTTATTAATTAATTAATATCTAATATAAATGCTTTTGTCCTATTTAAAAAATAAAATAAAAAAATAAAAGTATTAAAACTTTGTTAAAAAATTTGTGTCTTCTATAAAGAAGAACTTGATTCGATGTATATTCAATTATATAATAAAAACAATAAATTTAGTAAATAAATTACTAAAAAATAAAATGTTAAATTAAAAATAAAGTATATTATATCATTAAAACTAATTCAATCTTGTTAAAGAAGAAAAATTTAAAAAAAAGACAGAATAGAAATAATTAAGAATACAAATAATTAAGATATAAATAAGATAATAAAAAAGACAAGTTAATGTCAATTAAATATCAAAGCCATCTTTTGAATGCATAAATTTTGAGGAGCAAATAAAAAAATAAGGAGAAGAAATAAAAGGATAGACATAGAATAAAAATTATGACATTAGCGCCATCTTCAGAATACCGCAAATAAAACACAATAGAACATAAATAGAAAAGAAATAATAAATAAAACAAAAATAAACAAAATATAACAAAATAATATATAAAATAAAAGAAAAATAGAAATAAAGTAAAAATTGATTGTTAACTCCATTTCTTAACTTATATATATAATCTTAACTAATCTAAAATCTCCCTAAAAGTAGGATAAAGTAGAATAAGAATAAAGGCTTAGCACCATCTTTTGAATGCTAAAAATATCTTTCTAAAAATTCTCAAGATGGCAGTAATATTTAATTTTTTCTTTATTCTATCTTATTCTGTTTTTGAAACGATATCTTTGACACTCGAAAGATGGTATTGGTGATTCATTCTCACTCTATCTCTATCTTTTCTATTATTTTATTTATTAAATTCTATTATTTATCATCCTTTCTTTGTTGTTTCATTTGAACCATTCTGAAGATGGCGCTGATTCCATAATTTTTATTTTTATTTCTATTCATTATTTCTTCTTTCATTATTTCTTTTCCTTGTTTGTATTTGTTTTCAAATTAACAAATAAAAAACTTTAAAAAATAATTTATTCAAATTTAAATGCAAATATAAAGCGATTTTGAGGAATATCACAATAGAAAAATTATTCCATCAAAGGAAAATATCTTTATATTTTAAATTCACAATAATACATAAAAATGAAATAATTAAGAGATCAAAATAAAATTAATTTTTTTATATTTTACAGAAAAAAATTAATTGATTCAAAATAAATTTTATTAGATTTTTATATATATTTAATTATGAAAAGAAAGAAAAAAAATTATTTTTCTGTGTTAATAAATAAACTCCATGTTATTTCTATTTCGTATATAATAATTAATAAATTTTTTAATAATAGAAATATATAAATATTTTAACTTGTTAATAATATATATATATGTATTATTTTATGATATTGTATATAAACAATATATATATATATATATGTAAATATGGTAACGATATTGATTAGATTTATAATAGGTGAATTCTACAATACATTGATATAATAATTTGTTAGTAAGAAGAAAATGTGGCAAGATAACGAAGTTCGATTTGATATTTCTTACAAGTAATATTTTTTTAAATGTATTTCATATTAATTATTATTATTATATAAATCTTATTTGATTTTTATTCATATATCATGAATAAAAATTTAATTTATATAAATTATACTAAAAATTAAATTAACTGAGATTTACTATTAAAATTAATAGTGTTGTGTAAAGAATAATTTATTATATTTTATTTAAAATATTGTAAACGAATAATAATGGATATTTATAAATTTATAATATTATACATTATAAACAATTATAAATTTTTATTTTTCTACTAGTCATATGCAACTAAGATTGGGAGAATTTAATGTTGATAAACTCGATTTAATAGAAGATACAAAAGGAAATGCAGGTGATAATGGAAGATTGATAGTGACCAATCTCAGAATTATATGGCACTCTTTGCTTCATCCTAAAATCAATTTAAGTATGAATCATAAATACATACCATTAATAAACACATAAATAATTTAATGTTTTTTTTTCTTTTATAATCATTTTTTTAAATATATACTTTTAAATTTATATTAAATAAAATCTTTAAATTACATATATTTTTAACAATTAAAATCGAATTTTGTAATCTTGTAATTTATAAATACTATAAATAAAATATAAAAGTATAATAATTATTATAGTTTATAAAACATAAATATAAATATATAGAAAAAAATAATAAATATGAAAATTTTATATAATATTAAAATATTATAAAAAATACTATAATTAATGTGAATTATATTTTTGTTTTTTTATTATATAGGTATTGGCTACAACACCTTTGTAACAATAAATACTAAAATTATACATAGTGTTAGTATATTTTATTAAATCATTAATTCATTTTTGTTTTTTAAATAACAAAAAATATTATTTTTATAGTTACAAGGAAGACATATGCAAGCTCTATATATTTTAGCTTCTTTTCGAAATTGTAGATACGAATTTTTATTCACAAATCGAGATTTAAAAAGTACACGACATTACACTTCCGTTATTGGTGTTTACAGGTATATATTTTATTCAATTAAAAATTTTTATTATTTATCACATAAGTTATTCTTTAAATATTCACTTAAAAAATTTGAAAATTGAAATTATTTATTAAAAACATAAAAATTTATTAAATTGAATTTAATTTTATTTTTATATAAAATTGTCATTTATATTTTTTTTATTTTTTTAAATATAATATATTTTGATTATATTTATTTTATTACATGTTTAAAGTATCAAACAAAAATATATCTTTTAATGAATATTTATAAAATATTTTTATATATAATAGCATTTTGTATTAATGTTACGAAAAATTTGAATTAATATATAAATTTATATTTCTATATTTATATAAATTATTTTTGATAAATTGTTATATAAAATAAAAAATTTTAATCAAAAAATGAAAATTTATAAAAATTATGATTGTTACTATTATCTAAATAAAATTTAATGTAATTATAATTATAATATAAAAAAAAAAAATTTTAAACATTACAGAGCATATATTTCATCTAAGATTTATCGAGAAATTAAATTAAGAAGTGGAATAATTAATGATAAACAATTGACTTTATTACCACAAGAAATAGTTCATTCAACACTGCAAGATATCTGGAATTTATCATTAGAACAGGTTAATTAATTATTTTCTATAATAATAATATATATATAAAACTATTAAAATATTTTTATTAACATTTGTATTAGGGGAATATTGGAACTTTTATCGTAACAAATATACGTTTAGTATGGTTCGCTGATATTAATTGTCAATTTAACATATCAATTCCTTATCTTATAATAGCAAACGTGAGTACAAATAATATATTTTGTACACATTAATATATAGAATTTTCTAATCAAAAATATAGTAAAAACTTTCTCATTTCTTTTTTTTTTTTTTTAATAGATTATCATTAAAAATTCAAAGTTTGGTCCAACTTTAGTTATTAATAGTACTGAATCCAGTGGAGGATATATATTAGGATTTCAAGTTAATCCCGCTCAAAAACTTCATATTGTTTATAAAGAAATTTTAATGTTATGGAAAGCATTTGAAAAATTTCCTATTTTTGGTATTGATTATACTTTTGAACACCAGGTAATTATATTAATATTATTATTAAATAATTTATTGAATAAATATAATTAATTATTTATTAATTATTACAGGCTCCATTACAACAATCAAATATGGAACAATATACTGAAATACAAGACAATCAAATTGAAATTTCGAATATATTTGGTTACTACTTTTCTGAAGGATCAAATCAAAGGAAGCCAAGTTTTTCAATTTATTTAGGTCTTGCAGCAGAAGAACCTCGAGAAGCCAGTACACTGCAAAATCTATGGGAACTCGTGCCACAAACTTAATTAATACTATTGATATATTTTAAATGCTACAAAAATATCATTTTTTTATATAAAATTTAAAAAAAGATTAATACTAATATATTTTATATATTTGCATTCTATTTAAGAATTTCAATCAAAAATCATATAAAATTAAAATATAAAATGAACATAAAATTTATTATTATAATAATTAAAATTAATAAAAAAATAATTGAGACAAGAAAAATAATTATATAAAAAAAATTGTATATTATTTGATATTTTTACTAATTTTAATTTTTTTAGGTCATATAATTTTATAACTAAGTAATTGTTATAAAAAGAATTATATAAGAATTATAAAGAATTTATATAAAATATTTATAAAAAAAAATATAGATAATAAATATATGTGTATACATATATAGAGTGTTCTACTAACTCTGTATTTTTGAAATATTTTCGGTATTTTAAATAATAAATGAAATATATATATATATATATATATATATATATATATATATAAATGATATATATATTAAAGATTTATTATTTCTATACTCTTATAGAAAATTATTTTTATATTCAAAATCCAATATTCTATTGAATTTAAATATAAAAAATTAGATATTTCACTTAAAAAAATAAGATTTTCTTTATGTTTACATCTATAAACTTATCATTATTATTATATCATATAAACTTTATAACTTTTATAAATAATATTTTCATTTATTATTTGAAATAGTGAAAATAATTTAGATAATTAGAATTTGTAGGATACAATATATATTTATACAAGATATAATGAATTATATTATATTTTAATTATTTTAATCTAACTATATTGACTTCTTAGAAATTTCGTTATTTCTTTAAATATTTTTTGTTAATTTTGTTTTATATAAAAAAGTCAATGATAGGAATTCCACAACTATTTAATATAACTATTTTTCTCTCATTTCAACATTTATATTTAACACTTTACCAAATATTTTTAGTATTTTATTTATGGAAAAGTCAACGTTTATGGAATTGATAAAAAAATAGATAACTGGAATTAAAGCATCAGTATTCTATAATATAACACTGAATAAGTCTTTAATTGTTTAATTGCAATTTCATACCACTTTTCAGATTTCGTCTTTAAATTTAACTTGGTCTACAATTTAATGGTTGCACAATTGATTGATCTTGATTATCATCACCATCTTCATTCAGTTCAGCCTGCTGAACAGGAAATCTATATCCCATATTCATAAGCATTACTTCAAATGGGTCACTCTTCATGCGAATTTGATTTGCAGATGCAGCATCTTCTAAATTTTGAATTTCTCTTTCATTTATACTACCATCCTATATCAAATAAATTTCAATTTAATTTTTAAAATTAATATATAAAAAATTTTATATAAAAAAAAAGTTTATATATAAATTCTACATGATTAAATAAATATCAAACTTTCTTTTTTTTTAATGAATAATTTTAATAAATAATTAATAAATAACTATACATACTTCAGGTAAAGGACTCCATAATCTAACTACTGGATCAATGCCACTAGTAGCTAGTAAACAAGTAGATGGATGAGGTTGAAGACAATTCACAATGCGTTCATCACCTCTTAACACACGTATAATATTTGTAGTATTACGATCCCAAATAAAGAAAGAACCATCATCTGATCCTGCCACAATATATTGACCATTGCTTAAAAGAAAAAATTAATAATTACAAATTCAATTAAATTAAATTTTTAAAATAATCTAATACATTATTTTAAAATATACTTACTTTCCAAAAAAATTAGCTTCTTTTATATCAGTTGTAGTATTACAATGCCCACAAAATCTCATTTTATAGTCAATTGTATTACGTCGCCATTCTTGTTCATATTCTGATATTTGTATCATTAATTGATTCATATCAATATCTCTACCTAATTGCACAATAATTAATTATAAAAGAAATATTTTTAAATTGAACATGAAAAAATTCTTATCAGTATTTATTATTATACATAATAACTATTAAAATTTATTTATGTTTCATCATGTTATTAAATATAAGAAGTATATATAAGATTGGTTGCTCTTCTTTTTTTTTTATAGATTTGAAAATCAGATATCAAAATTTGGGAGAAATGATTTCAGATGGCTTTTATAGTGATTATTTTATTGAACTTTAATATACAAGCTAAGGCATTTAAATAGAGACAGCTACTATCTTTGCTTATGAATATATCTTCCTTTATAACTTATGAAAAAAATGTTCAGAACAAAGTTTCACTATTTGAAAGAGACAACAATAAAACAATTTCTTTTTTAGAATATTTTTTTACAAAATTTCAAAATAATCGCTATTATTTTTAAATGGAAACATATATATTTTTTAATATATTAATGCAACATTTTATCGTATCATCATATAATATTATCTATAATTAAAATAATGGTGACAAAAATCACACAATTTTAAAAATAATATTATAAAATTGAATATATGAAAAATATGAAAAAAACTGCTTCACATCTTTCTTATTCTACATAAATTATTTTTTTTTCTTATACTTTATAAAATTGAAGTTAAATTGAAAAAAAAATTAAATTAAAAAATAAATTTAATGGATTTTTATCTAAAATAAATTAATCATTTTTTTTATAAGGGATAATTAAGTATAATAATCAATTTATTAAAAAATATATATTTGCGTTTCAACAAATGAATGTTTTCTATTTTCATTTAGAAAAAAATCAATTACATCAAATTATATCCCCCTCAAAACAAAATAAATTCTATTTGAAATTTGTATAGGCTGAACCATAACTTTAAAAAAATGGTAGAAAATAGACGAAAATTTTATTAAACAAAATTAAATAGCTTCGAATTGTATAATTTCTTTATGTTAAACTATATGTTTACAAATTGATTTATTTTTTATTCTCTATAAAAAATGAATATTAAAACATAATTATATTAAAAACCAATTATTAATTATTAAAAGATATTTTAATTTTAGTTATAACTTAGTAATTTAATACTTAACTTTATGTTATGAATGTAAGTATATATATAACTTATTTATATGTATATATAATTAGTATATATAACTGCTATATTTTATAAGATTAAATTAATTGTTTTTAGTCATAAGTATTTACTATTTTTTTTTAGAGAATAAAAATATATATTAATTACACAAAAATATATAGATTCATTCATTAAAATAATATTGATTGTGAAATCTTAAATGTAAAATGCTTCCATTTCTAATATAAACATGCATCAAATCATACATCATTCAAATCATCTAAATTTGTGTAATGAAATTTTTTTCTATTTTCTATTTTCTAGTTTCACTTATGGCTTAGCAATTATGTGAGATATCTTATATATCATATCAATCTTTCAATAGAATGTAATGAGGAAAGACATACCAGAATCTATAGCTTCTTTTATATCCATTTTTAATGCTTTACATGCAGAGTTAGATGCATATTCAGGAAATTTTTGTTGAAAGTCTTTAATTATTTTATCAGCTTCAGCTGATTGATGTAAATCAAAGAGACAACGAGCCAATCTACAAATATATATGTGTATGTATATATATGTACATATATATGTATACATATGTAATATATATATTACATTACACTTAATGCGTTATTATTATAAATTATTATTATATATACCTGAAATGAGCTTTTACATGTCCAGGATCAAGAAGTAATGTTGTTTGACAATCTTTAAGAGCAGCATATATATCGCCATCCCTATAAATTACATAAAATTATATGATATTCAGATTATATTTAGAAAAATAAAAAAAATGAAAATGAATGTATGTTATAAATATTTTAAGCTTAATTCTACATCATTATAATTGATCATAATTGAAAAATAATATTGTTTGATAATTTAAAAAATTTTTTAATTTTTCTATTTACTTTATTTTTTAAATTTTTTATAATATTTAAAAATTTTAAATATAAAAATAAAACTCATACCAAGTTCGTTTCATATATGCTGCAGCTCTATTAGCAAAAAGCACAGCTGCAGTAGGACAATAACTAATTGCTTTATTGTATAAATTAATTGCCAATGTATATTTTTGTTGCTCAAAGCTTTCATTAGCCTAAAAACAAAAATAATAATAGACAAAAAGAAAAAAAATTAATTCATTTAACTATATTTTTAACATATCTAAATTTTATAAAAAACTTGAAGAAAACTTACTTGACGTTTTAGTTCTTCAACATGTGGTGGCAGGATTTTAATATTTTTATTAGTAAAATCTATATCTTCATTATTCTCTATACAGCACTTTTCAAAATTTCCTATTAATAAATTTAAAAATATTTATGATTTATTTTATATATGTTGTATAGGAATTTAAAGTATAAATTAATTTTTTTGTTTGTAAATTATAATAGATATAATATAAAATTTATTCGTTACTAATACTTCTAAAAAAATTTTAAATATTTTGTATTATATGAATATTTAAAATTTTTTTAAATTTTAATAACATATATTATTTTTATAATTATAATAATATAAAATTTTCATAATTATAATTATGAATACATACTTGTAGAGTAACCAAAGCAAGTCTTCAAATTCTTTGGATTATTGATATCAAATAAATAAATCTGTTCTCCACCCATGTTAACAAGAAGTTCATTTCCATCAGCACTGAAGGTTAAATATGTAGTAGTAAGACTCCTATTACCGTCACGTTGTCGAGAATGCAGATGGCCTGCTCAATATCAAACATTAACAGTCTTTGTTAGAGTGATCATATAAAATGTAACAAAAGAGGAAAATAAGGGTAAAGGAGTCGCGTACGCTATTTCTGATCGTACGAACGAACCCGCGATAAAGTACTGTGCGCAACCCAATGGTATATTTTCATCTGGATCACCTCCACCAGCTAGCCGTATACATACATTTCCTCTTGTCCAGTTACTATGTGGAGACGAAATAGGCACCTAATATTACAAATCATTTTTTTTTTGTATTATAAATTTATCATTTTTGTTATGAATAATATTTGCATCTAGTGGTTCTTCCAGTCATTATTTAAGTTTTTGAATTTTTAATTTTAATTTTACAATTACCTGAGAAAGCTTAATCATTCTACGATCATACATTCGTATATAAGCATCATTAGCTCCAATAGCTATTAATTCAGGTTTCTTTGGATTCACAGAAATACATTTGCCCTCTGCATATCGACCAGCATGATTAACAAGATTTACTAACACACTATTACAGTCATTACTTTTGCAACTATGAGGAGCACGAATATCATATTGTAAAATAAGACCATCTTCTGCAGCACTCCAAAAAAGAAAAGGTACAGTAGTTGCAGTGGCAATACGCTTTACGCGACCTATATGACAATTACACGAAAATATTGGTTCAAGAAGTGTAAGATCTCGAACTCGTACTTTTCCATCTCCAGCACCTGATACCAATATCCTATCATTTGATTTTGGCAGGAACTAAAGAAAAAAGAAATATTTTTCTGATTTATTTTTAATTATAAAATTCTTTAATAATAAATGGTAAATATATCAAAAAAATTTTTAAATTATAAAAATTAATAATATTTTAAAGTACAATTTGAATAAATCAACAGATTAATATTTAAAATCAATATTTACCTTGACAGAAAATATATTTCCATGATGACGTGTACGAAGTACTAATTTTTTTTCATATCGAAATGGATCCCATAATATAATATTCATATCATCAGATGCAGAAGCAAGAATTCTAAAAATATATATTATAATTCATAAAAATAAAAATTTATTAAATATTAAATTATATTTAATTATCTCATTTATGTGAGATAATATATATTATAAATATATATAAATTATCAATAATTCTGTAAATATCTTTTATATTGCAAATTATTTATTATTTATTATATTCTTTATTTAATAAATACTTACTGTCCACTTTCATTCCATTCTAAACAATTAACACATCCTGTATGACCAACTAATTCTTTTTCAAGTCCTAAACGGGATATTAAATTTTCTGTCACATGTAACTTCTGCGAAACTGCATATGCCACTGAATCCTATATAAAATAATTCAAATATAATTAAACATATTTTATACCAGAACATAAAAACATTATAAAAAATATTTTAATATTTTAAATATATTTAAAAACAATGTTTTGAAATTTATATTAAGAAATATTAATTAATAATGCATTTAAAAATAAATATATAGTATATATTAAATTTTTATTAATATACCCGTATTTCACGTTGGCGTACTAAATCCAAAACTCTGTAATCTTTATCATGTATGTTAGGAAGCATTTCTATATTTATTTTATAAATCACTTATTGTACTAAAAAAATTAAATATCCTCTGAAAATCATAAAAAATTCATTATTTTTATTAATTGTATTATGTGTTTACTTTTTTAATGAAAAATGTAAATGTAATCATTTTATAGAAATAACCTCTAATATAAAGATAGTATTACATTAAAAGTGCAATAATTATTTTCACGAACATTGGTTAAAAATACTTAACTTAAAATTAATATGATAAAATAAAATACAAAATGATTAATAAGTCGTTACTTGTTTATGCATCATTAAAGCGTTATTGAAACGTACTCGTACTGCTGTCTTTTTACACAATACCATGAACTTAACATTACTTTTGTACTTTATCACATCCTATCCTATAGTTAATATATGTATACACATATCTATATATACTTATTTAAATATTATATACTTCATTGTTTTTTTTAAATATAATTAAATTTTACAATTATTTTTTATCTTTTAGGACAACTGATGTGAAGATGTAAGTTTCTACATAATGTCAAGCTTTGTTTCCATTTCTTTCATGTTCTATAAATAGATATTTGTTGATTTGTAATGTTTTGATGTCTATAATAATTAAATTAATCTAAGAAAATAATCAATGTTATGTTCATATTAAATTTTCTTAATTTTATCATTTACATAAAAATTTTTACGTATATCATTTGTTTATGAAACTTTCAATTTGGAAATATACTATATCATTTTCTAACCTAACAAAATTTATCTATTATATCTAATTTATAAATGCATATATGCATTATATTATTTATAATATTTATACATTTGTAACTTACATATAATTTATTACATTTGGTATATTTTTTACAATTATTATTATTATTTTTCTATTATTATATAGTTTTAATTAATATTATCATTACATTGATATTATTAATTTTACAATTTAAAAACATTTTAAAACTCTAAATATTATAAGACATTTTAGAAACATTTAATAATATTTTAAAAATGTCTTAAATATGCTTTAAAAATGCTAAAAATTAAAACATTTTCTTATGACTGATATTTTAATCATGAATAGTTATTTCATTATAGATCGAAATTGAATTGAGTTATTCATATAGGAATTAATGAAAATTTATAAGATGAAGTTTAAAACTTATCTTTATAAGACGTAAAGTAATTTAAAACTTAAAACATTCTGAATTAAATGAATATAAAATTGAAAATTTCAAAATTTTGCATTTTGTCTAAAAATAATATAATTATTATAATATAATTATATTAAGAAATCTATGAGAAATGCTTAAACAAAATTCATAATGTCTTTTGTATATTTTATACCAATCATTTTTAAGATGATGCTCGAAATATCTATCACTAAACATCTTAAAAATGACGTTTAAACTCTCGAGTTCAGAACTAAAATAGACGTTTTTAAAATGTAAGTTGTGATCGGGATTTCTAGAGGAATATATATAAACAATATTCAATTTTTAATTATTATGAATTACTTATTATAAATCTATTAATAAACAAATTAGTAAGTGTAATTTATATAAATGAAATTAAGATTAAAGAACAAGAACCAATAAAATTTTGATAAAAAATTTAATATAACATTGATAAATCAAAATCCAAAAAATATGAAAATAGATTAATAATTTAATTAAAATATTTATCGACCTAAAAATATTTAAATTTAAATTTTTTTTTTATTAACTGTGTTAAATAATCATCTTGAATTAAAATTTTATATTTTAAAATTATTCTTTTTTTATATTTTTTATATTTTTTTTATATGTTTCATTGTGATATTTTCATTATTATCAAGATATATTCACAATTATATTCATAATTATATTATTTTCATGGCAAATATACAACAATACTGATAGTACATTCAAGGCGAATGCACAACAATATAATTATAAAGTTGTCCTAAAAATTCTTTTCGTTATTTGTACATACGGTTTTGGTGATCAAAATTTGAGAAGTACAGTCTATTTTTTATTAATATTAGAATTAGGACAAGACATTCAGTTTTTTTTTAATTTTTCACTATTGTGTATTCTAAGTTAAGTGTCCAGAGCTTTTTTTGTAAAATTTATCAATTAATAATATTGGAACAAGTTGCAAGTTGAATAAGCTATATTTTTGCAATTATATATTAAATAAAATAATTAGATGATTTAATGATTTTTAATAGAAAAACTGTTTTTTTTAATATCATTAAAAGTTATTTCAAATATTTTGCAAATAAGTCAAGATTATTTTATAAAAATAGAATAGTAGAAATTTCAGGAAGATGGAATGACATTAGAATAATATGTCTATAAAGTATATAAAATTTTAAAATTAAAATATATGATAAAGCATCATTGAAATATTATAAATACAATCAATTATTCTTCTGAAAAAATGAAATCATAGTAATTTAAAAAAAAATAAAAAAGAATTATATTATAAAAAAAACGAAAAAATTTTTTAGAAAAATTCAGTAAAATAAAAAGAAAAAATAAATTAGAAAGCATAATGAATTAATGAATGATGATACTATTATGAATGATAAAAAAAATTAGCTTGAAAATAATATGGTATTGATAGTTTACTTTACCCAAATTATATTGTAAACTTTAGTAAGTAAAATATAATTTTACATTATAAAGTAATGTTAAATTTAAAAATTCTTTTTTTTATCTATTGATTGCAATAATATTTAATTATACATAATTATATTTATTGATCTATTTTATACAATTATATTTGTATTTTTTATATTTTTTTATATTTGTATTTTTGATATTTCTTATTCTTCTAAAATTATTTTAAAAATTTTTATCAATTTTGATTATGTTGCATAATCATATTTTATATTGTATTATATTAATCTTAACAATTACATATTAATGATGTAACAAGATCTATGAACTGATTAAAATATTAGAATAAACATTATTATATCTTTCTTTTTTATTTTTGATTATAAAATTTTTTGTTATAAATTTATTATTTCATTTATATTATTATTTTTATTTTTGTATTATTATATTTATGTTATCTTTTAAAGAATATTAAAAAAAATATTTGTAAATCAAAAAAATCTATCAAAAATTTTAACTATTTAGATATTACAATTATATTTTTGATATTTAAAATGATTTTATTTTTTTATAGATATAGATATTTTTATAAATGTAGATGATTAAAATAATATATTCTAATTCTAATAATGGAATTTCTAAATATCCATGATAAATTGATGAAAATTTAACATTATTTAAAATTTCAAGTAAATGAATAATTTTATAATCTTTTTATGAGATAAATTAATTATAATTTATATTTATATTATTGATAATAATACATTATAGTTAAATAATATTAATAATGCGTAATATATAATAAATACTTATAAATTTTAATATTAAATAATACTTACAGATTTATTTTTAATAAATTTTTAAAACAATGAAGCGAGCACGTATAAAAGCTATAGTTACAGTTCCAACTCGAAGGAAAGCAACACAAGATATATCTGATACTGAAATTATTAATACATTTGAGAACAATGACAAAAATAAAAATGTATCTGATGATTCATTACAACAAAGTTCAGAAAATATTTTACATGAAACACAAGAACAAGAAAATGTAGAAAATACAAAAAAAATAATACAAATACAAGAAATAATAGAAGAGCAAGTGCCAAATGAACAATTTCCTGAACAATGTAACGAATATAAGAGTGATTCTATGCAAAATTCTATGCAAAAGGAAGAAATTGTAAATATACAGTCATCAGAAATTTTAAATATAACACAAATTAGTAAGTATAATGCAATATATATTGTATTATGATTAAAAATTAAAGAGTTTACATTCACAATTTAAAAATATTTATATAAATGAGCTATGTTTATTAATGAATATAATATAATTCTTATTATTTATATTATTATTTTGTATTATTATTGATTTTTTGATTTATAATTGTTTAAGTTCCTACGTAAAGTCATTTTTATACTTGGAATGTACAAATGCATTATGCATTTGTATTAGTGCTATACAAAGCTGCATGCAGACACTAACAGCCTAACTGATTATCAGTCTGTAATTTAAAGAAAAGGCAAGTCATTATTTGCAATGATTTTAAAGGAAATACTGATATTCTTTACTGAATCATAAAAAAAAAAAAAAAACATAATGGAATGCAGTAAAAGTAATTATTTATGTTATTTGTTCTTTATATAAATTGAAAAATAAAATTACACTTTATCATAAGTTTTTCAAAAATAAGCAATTATTATAGAGATATATCATAAATTGTAAGAAAATTAAAAAATGTTATCATAAAGAATTGTTAAAATATTTTGTTGTTGTAGCTTCTCCCATAAAATCAACACAAAATCGGTCTGGTTTTATGAAACCAACACCAAAATTTGATAATAACAACAGAGTAAGAAGAAATAGTATTCAAGGAAGTGGAGCGAGCACAAGTGAATCTGAAGATGATAGCAGAAGATTACCTTGCAGTATTACCAATCATACAAAAAATGATTTAGTACAATTATCATATAATACAAAAGATGCTGTTACTAATAATATCAAAAACAATTTAATAACAACCAAATTGGGACAAAAGAGACGTATTTTAGTCTCAGAATCTACAAGAAAACTAGCAGAGGCTAGAAGAGAATTTCATTTAAAACATGAAAATAAAACTCCAGATAGAAGCAAACTTACAATGTATGATTTAATATATTACAATCCTGTTACTAATCCTATGAAAAAATCTAATGAATCTACAACAAGAAAAATGTTGGAATATCAGTATGTATTAAATAAATAAATAAACTTTTATTATAAATAAATTAAATAATATAGATATTTCAATTCAAAAGTAATAACAATATATAAATATAAATAGGAGACAAATAATTATTTTTACAGATCTGAAGAATTTCAGGAAGAAGAAAATGAAGATGATCCATCATCTGCAATGCCAGTGCCTCAAGTAAAAGTTGGACCAAATGGTCAACTAATAATAGATGAACAAAGTCTTGTTATAGAACAAACTAATGCAAAAAAAGGTAGGAAAGTATTAGCAAAAGAAGCTATTATTGATGATGATAATAGTGGAAGTGGATTTTATAAAAAACGACAGAAAAGCAAAGAATGGTCCGAACGGGAAACTTTAAAATTCTATAAAGCATTAAATACAATTGGTACAGATTTTTTGTTGATGCAAAGTCTTTTTCCTCATAGAACAAGGCAAGAAATGAAGTTAAAATTTAAGAAAGAAGAAAAAGTTAATAGACATTTGGTTGAGAAAGCACTGGCATATCATCAAGAATTTGATACTGAAATGTTAGAAAAATCATTAGGTAAATTTATATATTTTTTAAAAATCAAATACAAGTTCATATATCATATATTTTGTAAAAAATATTGCATAAGATGGTTAAATAATAAAAATATTTACAATAAAGCTATTTATTATTTTTGCATTTATAAATATAATTTATAATTTGTAAATATAATAGCATTAAAATTATTCAAAATTTTTAAATAAATGTATTATATATGTATTATATTTATTTTGTATTTTTTTACATTAAAGAAATACTTTATTTCAATTTATTTTATTAATTATATTTATATAATAAAAATATTAATTTTAATATAAAGAATTTATATTTTAATATAAGAAATAATTTAATCAATTGAATATATATATTTATATTCAACAAATATTCAATTTACATAATGGAATTTTATATAAAATGTATTTAAAATTTATGTTTATACTAATTTATACTAATAATTTTATGAATAAATTTATGTTTATATTAATAATAAAATGGAAACTCAAGATCTAAAAAAATTGTAAATAATTTTTTTCTTTAATTTTATTATTTTTTCACAAAAAAATTAAAATATGATTTATAAAATTATTAAATTTATTTATTGATTAATATCATCAATAATTTTTATTGTTTACAGCGACATTTGAAAATTCAGAAAAAGAATACTTGCATATACAAGAAAAACGAAAGCAACAAAAGACAAAAAATAAGAAGAATTCAAAATCAATCAGAAGACGAAGTAAGTTTAAAGTATAATTAAAAATTTTTCAATTTGTTAAATATTTTTTTAATTAATTTTATTTTACAAAATCATATTTCTTCTATATAAAATTATATTATTACATTAAATATTTATTGATTTATTAATTTATACTATTTATTAATTTATTTTTAGGAATTGTAGCATCTAGTATTGCTGAAATGGATGCATCTGACAATGAAGAAGAAAAGGAAGACGATTTTGGTTTAGACTCAATAATGTCTAAAGGAAATACACATTTAAATGATGAATGTCAACAAACATCAAATAAAATAAATAAAAAAATGTATAAAAGAACAAGAGATGAAAGAAAACTATTGATCAAAGAAGATGATGTAGAATCATTAAGTTCATGTAATGATGTTGACAGTGACACAGAAATTTATCGTGTAAGACCAACAAGATCTGGAAGATTACCAAAAGTAAAAAGATTACAGGGACCTGATATAAATACTCTTGATAATGAAAGGTTAAATTGTTCTTCCAACGATGAAATAACAATTTCATCAGAAGATAATGCAAAAGTTACAGAAAATTTAATTTTTGACAATATCAATCTTAATTCAGAAATTCATCATATAGATCCTATTAAAACAGTTATACCAAGCATTGGTAATGTAGAACCAGGTTCTTTGGTTATTTTATCAAAGGAATCTTTGGAGGAACCTGGTAAAAGTGTTTTACAAGTTTACATGGTTAGTTCGGACGTTAATACTTAAAATCTTAAGAAAGCTAATGTAAGTATATTTATTAAAATATTTAGCAATTACAATCATTATGATATTTTGAATGAATTCCTATAGAAAAAGAAAGATTATAATGATAAAAATAATTTAATCTTTATAAAATTTTTAAATTATTCATTTGATGTTATATAAATATATTGTTGGTTGTTATGATTTCTTGATTATTTAAAATACAACAAAATTTATTATTATTAAAAAATATTATTTAAATTTTATTTAAATTTTAGATAAAATACAAGTGAATTAAGAAAATGAATATAGATTGAGAAGAATAAGGAACAAAAAAAAATAATATGTAATTTATATTTGACTGCAAAATGTAAACACATTGTAAATGAAGTCCAAGGACTAATGGAACTTTAACATCATTCTTTTTCAAGAAAATAACTGAATTGTAACCTATGGTTGCTAACATTTTTTATCTTTGTAACGAATATGATTCAATAAAAATGAACTTTTATCTTGAATTTCTAGGAAAATGTCAATTTTGAATCTTACCAATAATTAATTGAATCTTTATCAATAATTAATCATTTAATAATTTAATGATTCTTCATCAATCCAAAAATATAATATCCATTTTAACAATTATGGTTTTCTTATATCATCCTATATATTTAAACCTATAATTAGATTTTTTATATAGATTGTATAGTATTTTTATTTTCTCGAAAAATTTTAATTTTTATTTTAATAAAAAAAATCTTTATTTTAATAAAAAAATAGATTTGAATATTATAAAATATAAAATAAATATAAAATTATAAAATATAAATAACTTCTTATTACATTTAAATAATAATTCCATTTTTAAATACTTAAATATTTAATTTTTTTACATAGTAAATTTTATAACATGAAATTTATATTAAATTAGTAGTAAACAATTTTTTGTAATAAAAATAAATTTTATCTTATTTCAAAAACAAATTCTTATTTTACAATTTATAAATTTATTATTATTTAAATCATACATAAAAATATATAATTGCATAGATATAGCAAATAAGTAATTTATGTCAAAAGAAATTTTAATAACACAATTCTAAGGTGTCACATGGAATCCACTTTGAACTTTCTAATGCATCCCACAGATTGTAATCTTGTTCTATAATTTCTCTATTAAGTTTATCAATATCTATAGGAACTGAATGTTCTGTAAAAAAAAAAAAATTAAAATGATATCAATATATCTATAAACAATATAATATTTATAAATAATATAGTGTTTCATACCAATTAATTCTAATTCATCTTCTTCAGGTTTTTGATCAGATACATAACTATTATATCCATCTGATGTAGGTTCACTTTCATAATAACCTTGCTGCCATGCACTGTAACTGTTCCAATAGGACGATGTATCATAATAATTATAAGCATCTGAATTTAAATTTGAAGGTGTATATTCTGATGATGACTGTGGTGGTGTTGATCTAAAAAAAGAAGAATCATTTGTTATTATTATGTGATAATATATATGATATATATTTTATAAATAAAAAATCAAAAGGTGTATACCCTGATAATTTATTCCAAGGTCTAGGGACAGCATTACAAATTTTTAATGATTTTGTTCCCAGTCCCCTATATCCGTTCATAGTAACTAAACTATTTTTCTGTTCTTCTTCATTAGCAAATCTGACAAAACCATATCCTTTACTAAATCCAGAACTATCTAAAATGACTTTTGCTGTTCTGATTGAATTATATTTTGCAGCAAATGCTCTATATAAAGAATAATCATCTACATCTGTTGATAAATCTCCAACCCAAATACTAAATTCTCTTTCTGCTGTTGGTTTTCCTGTAGTACTAGCATGATTTAATCGAAATCTCACAGCCTATAATATAAAAAAAATAAAAGTTGAAACTAATGTCTATTTTATTTATATAACATAATATTAATATGATATTATAAATTATAAACAAGGATTTAATTAAAACTTTGTAAATCCTTACTGGATTTGAACCAGGTATCACTTTGCCATTTAATTTATGCATAGCATCAAGTGCCATTTCATCAGTTGGAAAATGTACAAAACAATAACCTGCAGGTTCACCAGTATAACGATTTCTCATTACTTTAACTGTTTGTGGTTGTTCTCCCATTTTATGAAAAGCATTCATTATAAAACTTTCTGTCATATATGGTTCTAACTAAATCAAAATATATTCTTAATTTTGTTGTAAATATTAAAAATAAAATATAAAAATTATATTTTCATATAAAATAATATTTACTTACACCACCCATCCATAATTGACATAATACCATAGGACCAGACATTTTCTTGTTTATAATTGTCTGAAACAGAAAAATTTCGTAAAATCTTGTAACAAAACAAAACAAAATTCATAATTTATATTAGCTAATCAATTTACTTATTTTTTTACAAACAAAATTAATATTGCATTTATATATTTATTTTTATATTATTGTTTTATTATAATCTTCATAATTGTTGTTATTATATTAATAATGATACTTTATTATTAATAATAATATATAACAATATATATGAAATGTAATATTCTATTACAATTATTTAGTAAAAAGAGGTTAGAATCTTATATATATATTATATTATTGTATACAAACATGTTAAATATTAATTAAGTAATTGTTTTTGAATTTAGAAATTTCCAAAATTACCATAAATTTAAATAAAAAAATGTTATAAACTTACTGTGTTTTCATTAGTCTTTTATTTTAATAACAATTAATTTCGTTTTTCACTTATATTTTCATAAAACAATGATTATTAAAATTATGATTGTTTTAAATAAATTTCACATCATTCAAAAAAAATCATTGTCAAATTTCATTGTTTCTATTTAAAATAATTAAGGAACAATATTTATACTTTAGATGGCAATGTTCATTTAAGCTATATACTTGATAATTCGATATTTTTGTTTCGATGTTAAATATTATTAGTATCGATAATCTACAATTATGATATCAAATTTATATCGAAAAATATTCATATCAAATGAAACAAGCATTAATATTCGATACAAAAAATGAATGATTTAATTAATCCATTTTTTATAATTTAAATAATAATTTTTATAATTTAAATGAATTTTTTTAATTTAATTATTACATAATTCTGATATTCAATATATTATTAATAATTTATATTTAATATTTAATGAAAAATGAAACAAAAATTCACTAGATGAAATCATATTCTATTGGAGAATGACAAAATGACATATAATATTCCAAATAATATTTATAAAAAAATATTATAAATATTATTTATGTGTATTTATGTAATATTCGTTGATTCGATAAAAGAAAATTTATATGGAATAAGATAATTTTCATAATTACTTAATTTTTATTTAATTTTTATTTATTTATTCTCTCTTATAATTTTTAGAAGAAAATTATACTATTCATAAATATAAGCTAGAATTCATACGTTTTTTAATATATTATTGAGTAATATAAAATATTCAAATACATATTAATAATTTTTAATTAGAGTAAATTAAAGCTTAAAAACAATGAATACTTAAAGCAAAATTATAACATTTTACTTTTAACAATTAAATTATTAACAAATCTTATGAAATATTACGTTTGTTTCTTTTAAATACTTAAAGCGATAGAATAAAAATTTATTACAATAAGAAATATATAATTAATAATAAAAATTGATAAAAATATCTAGAGAATTTTTTTTATTATTATTCTATAAACTATTAAATAAATTTATAGAGAAACGATTTATTAATTTTATATTAACATAATATAATATTTATTATTTTATATATATATGAGAAATATTTCAATTTTCTGGAATTATTGACATCTCAATAATATTATTTAAAGGTTAAGCATGAAAGAACAAAGTAAAAAAAAAAGTGATTGAGAAAAGATTTGAATGGAAGGGGAATAGGAATAGAAAAAAGAAATCATATTATACGAATATTTAGTAAATTTTTATATTTTAAATTATTCATTTCAGATTTTTATATCTATTATAAAAAATATAAGTATATAATTATAGAATAATGAAAATTAGTAACAAAAAGGAATGAAATAATACTGGATAGATATTTAATAACAAATGATATTGATATAATATGTTTATATGTATACATGTATGTAGTGTATTGACATTTGCTATTTGTTTATAAAAATGTAATAAAATATTTAATTTTTTAATTAAATATATCATAAAATTTTAGTTTCATAATTAATTATATGAAACAATTAGTAATTTATAATCATTCACTAAATAAATAATTTTATTAAAAGATGTTTTTTCTTTTCTTTCAACTAATTAGCATTATTGCCAAATATGTTGAAATTTTTTTCATTAAATAAAAAATTTTGAAATAAATAAAATGTGTTGATTATTAGAAATTAATATGAAATAATTATCATCGTTAACAAATATAATTTTTTCTTAGTGGTGATAATAAATTATGATATCACGACAAATAAACATGGCGCTTATTTGATACTGGAGTCTTTAGTTGGAATAAGCCGCAACTGTTGTCTCAATTCGTATCAAATTAGCAATTTTATTTTTTGAATTTATTCATATATCATTTAATTATATCCATACTATTTACGATACAGTGAATGTATCGTTTTTATTTCGAATCATTTTCACGAGAAAACACTTGATAAACCTGAACGTCATACATGTCAAAATGGCCCGGGAATATGATCATTTATTTAAGCTTCTAATAATAGGAGATAGTGGTAAGTGTATAAATTTTCTTCATTGTTTAAATACATCAATAATGAAGTTCACATAAATGTACTATAATAAATTTTTAAAATTATTATAGAGAGAATATTATATTACTTCTATTTTTAATAAAAAATGAATAAAATAAATTTATTATAATCAAGATTTCTAAAAAATTATTTATTACAATAAAAATATAAAAATTTTTTTAAAAAACTTTTACTTTTTTAAGTAATAATTTTATATTGCTAATCTTCATCAAAATTTTCTGTTTACAAACGATTTTCTTTTCTATGATATGTATTAAAAAATATACAAAATTATATATTTAAATTATATATTTGATATCATCAATAAGTTATTCTTATATGTATTCATATTATATTAATATTATCATATTATATTAAATAATTATGGTATAAAAATTTTTAATTCTTATCGTATAATATTAAATTTTGAAGATATTTTATATGTATGTTTAATAATATTTTGATAACTATAAAAAAGATTTTAATATTAAATATTTTTTCAAAACTTCAATAATATGTGTATATAATATAAAAGTATTAGTAATAATATATAAAACTTTATTATATATTTAACATAAATAAATGAAAATTCTTTTTTAATAAACATATCCGAATATATTTCTTATTTATATTCTAATAAATTACAAATTTTTTACTATCATTACAAAAAATAAGTTAATGTTTTTTATGAAAAAGATAATTAATTATTATTTATTATGAAAAATTTATTATGAAAAATTATGTTTTATTAAATTTTAAGTTTATGAAATAAAATTTAAATTGAAAAATGTATATATCTTTTTAAATTTTTTAATTATTTAATATATAGTTATAAAGAAAATTATTTTTTTGTTATATTGATAGAAAATTTATATTTTTATATTTTATTAAATTTATTAATTTAATTTTTATTAATAATGTTTATTATTATTATTGTTAAGTTATCATATTAATGATGGAAGTTAACCTTTTTTTAGATAATTTCTTCAAATATAATAGCAATAATGTTTTATTTTTTATATATTAATCAATTATAAAACAAATATAATATAATTTATTGAATTGATTATAATTTCAAATAATAACATCAAATATTTATATCAAATATTCATATCTATAAAATTATTATTTGTTTTAATATAAAAGAAAAAAAATCATCAAATTTTCTGTATTATATATTCTTGTTTTTATTATTTGTTATATCTTTTCAATTATACCAAATAAATACAAATATTGTTGGTAAATGTCAAAAAAAATTGAAAAATGAAATAGTTTATAAACAATTAGGCATATTTTATTAATCATTAAAAATTATAATGAATAATAATAAATAAAAAAAAATCACTATATTTAGTTGACTTTGAACAATTTTTCATAGGATTTTATTTCATAGGATTATCTCTATTAATAAAAAATTAAGTATTTTATTAAATTTATTTCAATTAATAAATAATATTAATTTTTTATTTATTATTTTATAAATTATAACAATCTATTATTTATTTAAATATATTTATATATATTTATATTAATTATAGTTTATATTTATTTTATATTTTTTGTTTAAGGTGTAGGTAAAAGTTCACTACTATTACGATTTGCTGACAATACTTTTAATGGCAGTTATATAACGACAATAGGAGTGGATTTTAAAATTCAAACTGTGGATGTAGATGGTGAGAGAGTAAAACTCCAAATTTGGGATACAGCTGGACAAGAACGTTTTCGGACAATAACTTCAACTTACTACAGGGGAACACACGGTGTTATAGTTGTGTATGATGTGACCAGTGGTGATTCTTTTGCTAATGTTAAAAGATGGTTACATGAAATCGAACAAAATTGTGATGTGGTCAACAGGGTACTTGTAGGGAATAAGAATGATGCACCTAATGAAAAGGTGGTATTAACAGAAGATGCACAAAGATTTGCAAATCAAATGGGAATTCAGTTATTTGAAACTTCTGCTAAAGACAATGTTAATGTGCAAGAAGTAAGTAAATAATAATTAATGTGTTTTTATAAAGAAATATATTAATTATAAAATATATTAATTAGTTGAAATATTCTTATATTTAATAATTATTTAAATCAATATTATAAATAATAATATAATAATATAATAATATAATATTTATAAATATTTATAATAAATCAATTATTAAATCAATATTCATATCTTTCTAAATAATCTTTTTAATGATTCAACTTTTTAAATATGTTTTAATAATATGCTTTGATAATTACGTATACATACTTAAAAAAAATTATTTATTTTTAATAAATATTATTAGAATATTTTATTGAACTCTTTGATTTTTATATAATTAAAAATTTCTTTCTTTATCTTTTTATTTTTATTACATTTATAAAAAAAAAATAAAAATTGTTATATGTTTTAATTAATATATAAATATTATTTAATTATATTTTATTTTTATTGTTTTTGCTATTAAACAATTACTATAAATTTTTTTATTTATTATTACATAAAATATTATTCAAAAATTAATTATTGTTTTATATATAAAAAATCATAAAATCAAAAATGCAGATATTTCTATGAATAACTAATTTTGTTGAAAAATATTCATATTTAATTAGAAGGTAAAAAATCACATTCTTTGACAATGTATGTTAAAGTTACAAATACTGTTCCACATTTTATATATTACATTTGTTTTAAAATATAAATAAATTTTGATGCATGATGATTTTTTCTATAAGAAAAGATTTTATTTTTTTGAGGGCAATTTTTAAATAAAATTGAATAAAAAGATCAAAAAATAGAATGTTCAAATTTTAATTTGTTTTTTGTTTAAATTACAATGAAATATACCAAAATTGTAAAACAAATGAAATTTTTTAATTCTTCACTAGTATATAAATAATATATTTTTCTATTAAATTATTTATATTATATAATGTGAATAGCTTTGTTCCTAAAAATATTATTATGTTGTAAAATTATTTAAACATTTGTTTTTTAATTATAATAATATTAAAAATGATATATTATATATTATAATTTTTTACTTATTAATAATTATTACATTTTTTATCCTTTTAGATTTTATAATACAGTTATATATAATATAATAATATAATTTTATATATACAATATAAATTCATAAATTTATTAATAGAAATTTAAATTTGATAAATATTTTTAAAAATCTTTTTTTATTTCATTAAACATAATTAATATATATGTGTATATATATATATATATATATATTAAATTATGTTATGTGTTTAAATGCATAATATAATTTAATAACTAATAATAATACTAATTATTAAATTTTTTTAATTTTATAATAATTTTAATTTACATTAATTTGTTGCATTTAGATGTTTATGGCTATAACACGACAAGTATTAAGAACCAAAAAAGAAAGGAAGGAACGACAAGCTATACAAACCAGTGAAACAGTCAATTTAAGGAAAAGCACAAAACAACATAAAAAGAAGTGTTGTTAACAGCATTGTATAAGCATGCAATCTGTTGATATCATTTAATTGATTATTATTGATATCATTTAATCAGATAACACATGAGACAAAAATAAGCAGAGAGCATGTGATAGCGATAAAATGATCATATAATGTAATACTGACGTTTTTTAAAACTATTAAGTTTTGTATTTATATTACAACATCGAAGATTGTATTCTCATAGAAATATACTTTGATGCTAGTAATGTTCAATATACATAGGATGCAAATGTTATGAGTGTGTAGTGTTTATTTAGCAAAAATAACTTTGTAAGTACACACTTTTCTAAAAGCTGCATTTTGAATGTGGTATTAAAAATATAAAGGCCTATTTATATTGTACAATTTATAATTTACAAAATATCAGCACAAAAAGGAAAAACAAGTGAAATATACATAACTGCTTCTTTTATTCATTTTTTTCATTTTTCAAAAAAATTATTTATAAAAAAAAATGATATAAAGTAGAAGATAAAGAAATATATTGTACAAAGTTTAATCTAAATTTATTGAATAAAATAAAGAAACATTGTATGTATGAGATTTGGATGAATATGGATAAATTTTTCTGGATAAGTTACCATAATGTGAATTCAATATTGTTAATATATAATATTTAATAAAAATTAAACAATTATCTTCATCAGCAGGTTAAGAAAATTTTGTGCATATTTACTGTACAAAGTTCCTGTAGTTTGATGATGCTTTAGAATGAACTTTATAAATCAAATTTTAATAATAATCAATAACATATTTACGGTATAACAGAGGCAAGCTTTTTTTAATTGACAGAATATAATATGTAAATTAAATATTACAAATTCAATGTAAATAGAATTGGAATTTAAAAAAATTACTCATTGTGAAAGATGAATCAACAAATTATAAGAAATTAAAATTATTTATTCTTACAATATGAATATATAATATAAAATTTAATTTTGTAAAGTGTAAGTCTTACAAAGTTTTAATGTTAATATAATACTATAATCATCTATAAAAATCTTATTTTTATGAAAGTAATTTAAATGATTAATTTTTTAAAATAACAAATTTAAATCTTCATTTTATAGAATCATTTTTATTGCTAAAACAATTATAAGTTTTATTACTACTATTATTAATAATAATTGAAATAAGAATTATTAGCAAAATTTATTGTAACTATAAAATTAAATATTTTATAATTACATAATAATTTGCTAATTTTAATAATAAATACGATATATATGTGCTACAATATAATAAACGTATTTTATCATCTGTGATAATAGTTAAGATAATTATCAAGCTGCCGCTGTAATACCGTTTTAATAGTTTTAAATGATATTACAAGTTTTTGATCAGAATAACATATCTTTTAAATAAGGGAATGAAGTGGCATCCTATAATATGTAAATATTTTACTTGCCAGTTTTAGTGGCATATCACAAATATTCCAATCAAGTATATTCAATATTGTTTACTGTTATACAGTTATAATATTGTACATGAATTATTATACACTTTAAAATATAAATAGAATTTATGTGTATATGAACATATTTTATATTTTTTTAAATTATTTATTACCTCTTTCTTTTTAATATTAATTCCGAATTAATGATTAATATTATATTGTATTAACATTTTATAAAAATTATAAATTAAATTTGAAACATATTATTGAATAGAAAAAATTATTAATTTTAAGCAACTATAACGCTTAAAATATAATGTATAAATAATTAACAACTAAGATATATTAAAATGTATAAATAAATTCATTTATAAAAAATAACTTTTCAAATATATTATCTTTCTTTTTTTCCATTTTTAATATTATAAATAATATTATATAATTACTTTTTTATATTTTTATACAATATAATTTATATATAATTATATTTTTTATATAATATAATATTATTTTTAATATATAGAAATTTAATTTAATAAAATTTAATAATATTAATATTAATTTTTATATAATATAAATTATTAAATGATATTATTTAACATAATATGTAGATGTTATTGATATGGATATGTAGGATGTGATAAAATTATAAATTATAAACTAATGTTTAAAAATATAAAATTGAGAAAATTATTATATTAATTTATTATAGTTATTATATTTAATTTATTATAGTTATTATATTAATTTTTTATTGAATATTTATGAAATATTATATTATAAAATTTTATTGAATATTAAGCAAATATATATATTAAAAAAAAAATATTCTAAATAAAATTAATTATCATAAAAGTATTAATTAATTAACGAAGAATATTTTCATATTGATATAAATATTTAAATAAATATATTCTATCAATGATTATAATAAATAACTTTTATTTGAAGTTTTATTTTAAAGTTTTAATATTGATTTTCTTCATTTTATTTGCCAAATATTTTATTTATTAGATATGTATATGTAGAAATTTCTACACAATAAGTATATGTATAAGAAATTTTTATTTTTTTTCTGTATTATGTTTCGTATTATACAATGCTAATCAAAATAATTTATTTTTTTCTTTAAATTAATTATTATAGTAAATAGCTGTAAAGAGAATATAAGAATTTTAATTGAAATAAGAAAAATTAAAGAGAAATAATTAATCAAAAATGATATTTTAAAATAAGAATAAAGTATGTAAAAAAATTAAGGAAACAGTGGCCTGTTTGGCAACGTGGTTCGGAGTAGTACATGGTGTTATACCCCCCACCTCCTGACGAAAACTTAAAAATGCCGCCGCAGCGCGACCCGAATCGATATTCGTCGGTAGAGTCACGTGATCTAGGTTTGAGCACTCTCAGCCAATCGGTGTTTCGCTGAAACGAAGTTTACTCTCCTTGTGTTACAGAGCGACGACACGACATCTAACTTTAGGTAACTGGAACAACAGTTCGCGACTGGCAGCGCACCGGTTTACGTTTTGGCGATGTGTCGTTCCGAAGCCAGTTACGCGAGTGGTTTTGTGACACGTTTAACCGTTAAGGGAGTGAATACAAAGATAATATCACGGTAGTGGTGTGTAGAAACAAATCAATTTGATGCTTGACAAAATTTGTTGGCAATTTGTTTTTATTTCGAAAGAACGTAACGGCAGTGTGCGTGTGAGTATTGCTGATATTCATATCGCGTCTAGAAAAAGGTGATCATTAGTAGTAAAGAGGAAAATCGGAAGAAAACTAACAATTATTAGCGAAAAAAAGATAGGAGCAGCGAGAGGAAATGGTGGGGTGGTAACAAACATTGGAAAAAAAGAAAAAAAAATATACTATACATCATACGTGTGACACGCACGACGTACGCGTACGCATACATATATAGATACGCGCGCTTGCGGGCGCGCTTACAGATACAGGCACGTAATAACGTTACATACACGCGCACTCAAACACACACACGCACACGCGCGCGCGCGTGCGCGCGTGTGTGTATGTACTTTATAGTAGATGAATACATACACGTATTTATACATAATAGAAAGAGAAGAAGAAGAGAAGGACGGTGCGAGGGAGGTTAAAGGAGAACGGTCAGGAAAGAACCGAGAGAACAAGAGAGAGAAATATAGAGAACAAGAAAGAAAGAAGAAAGCGAAACGTGCGGATGAAAGGAAATAGGAATCAAAAAATATGATAGCGTTACATTTATTATGCGGTGTTCGTAAGTACTAAGCGATCCGCGTGGGACTGAAAATTGTAAAGCAAAATAATCGACGAACTTTTTCTTTTATTTTTCATTAATTAAAATAAATTTGTCATCGATGTTCGATTTAATCCAAGTAAATATTGACGTGATCGATAGAAAAGTACAGTGTTCGAGATTGAATATCGTTGATTTCGAATTATTATTTACATGGGAAAATCGAAGGCGAAATATAGTACGAGATATGTGGTACAATATAATTAATTGCGAGAAAGAAATAGAATAGCTGTGTTTGAAAGAAAGGGAGAAACAAGTGAAAAATAAAATGAAGAGATGATCCCATAAAGACAGAGAAATGTATAGGAAAGAAAATATAAGAAAGAGAAGCGAAGAAAACGGAAAGAAATAAAATAAAGAGAAAAACGTGTACGAAATAATAACATTAAGGCTAAGAGTTTTTGAGAAACGTGTATATGCGTGCGTGCGTGTGTATAGTATATCAGTGGGCAAGATGGAGGAAAGTCAGCTGTTGATGACGGAACTTCCGGCATTGACGCCGAGTCGTGGTACAACGTTGCTTCATCGTTCAAGACATTATTATCAGTTACACCAACCGCACCTGGCTGCGATACCGACCTCGCAGAGTCAAGGGATTCTTTATAACTCGAGTAACGCGCCACATTATACTAGCGGTACGACCGGTCTACCGGCATACGCGCAAGGTCTTTCATCGAGGCAACAACCGCAAGTAATTGCTCGCGGTACTGTCACACCGAGCACGCATATCTCCTGCCTGTATCCTGAAATATTGGCGTTGATCTTCAGCTACCTCGAGGTCAGAGATAAGGGACGTGCCGCCCAAGTATGCACGGCGTGGAGAGATGCAGCGTATTACCGATCTGTTTGGCGAGGAGTTGAAGCCAGATTACACCTAAGAAAACAGGCACCAGCGTTATTCGCTAGTCTGGTAAGAAGAGGAGTGAAAAGGGTCCAGGTACTGTCGTTGCGGAGAGGTCTCGGCGATGTTTTGAAAGGCGTGCCAAACTTGGAGGCGTTGAATCTCTCGGGTTGCTATAATATTACCGACGCTGGCTTGATCAATGCTTTTTGCCAAGAATATACCACGCTTACCGAACTCAATCTTTCGTTGTGCAAACAAGTGTCAGACATTTCTCTCGGTAGGATAGTGCAGTATTTAAAAAATCTCGAACATTTAGAACTCGGTGGTTGTTGTAACATTACCAATGGAGGGCTTCTTTGTATAGCATGGAATTTGAAGAAATTAAAAAGACTCGATTTACGAAGTTGTTGGCAAGTATCCGATTTGGGTATTGCTCATTTGGCTGGTGTAAATCGCGAAGCAGCTGGAGGAAATCTTGCATTGGAGCATTTGAGCCTTCAGGATTGTCAACGGCTGAGCGACGAAGCTCTCAGGCACGTGTCGATCGGTTTAACCACTTTGAAATCGATTAATCTCTCGTTTTGCGTATGTATTACCGATTCAGGGCTGAAACATCTAGCCAAGATGTCTAGCTTGCGCGAATTGAACCTTCGATCCTGTGACAATGTTTCCGATATCGGTATGGCTTATCTTGCGGAAGGTGGCAGTAGGATTTCTTCATTGGATGTATCATTTTGCGATAAAATCGGAGATCAAGCGCTTGTTCACATTTCCCAAGGATTGTTTAATTTGAAATTATTGTCGCTATCTGCTTGTCAAATCAGCGATGAAGGTATTTGCAAAATCGCAAAGACCTTACATGATTTGGAAACGTTGAATATTGGTCAGTGCAGCAGATTGACGGATAAAGGACTTTACACCATTGCTGAGAGTATGAAACACTTGAAATGTATCGATCTTTACGGATGCACCAGGATAAGTACCAATGGCTTAGAAAGGATTATGAAATTGCCGCAATTGAGTACGTTAAATCTTGGTCTTTGGCACGTGCGGTGATGGCTTTTTCTCAATCGTATATATTATATGCGTCCCTACATTCGTATCAGTGACCAACATGTTTCCTCGGTGCCTGTGAAACATTGCCAGATACATGCCGATTTTCTAGTTGTTTCTCTTCTTCTTGTGAGTTTTTATTCTTTCCTTATTCTTTTCTCTCTTCTGTCCATTATTCTATTCCCTACATCTCCCTTTCCTTTCATGCATAAGTATTTATAGACAATCTATAAATAATTCAACTTGATCTCTTTCATTTTCTTTTTTCT